CAATAATGTGATTATTGACTGAAGTAGAAAGAATAGATATTCTTAAAAATGTTGAATTTACATTAACAAAGCTGCTCTGATCTAATGAAAGAGAGACCATTGTTTATTGTTTATACTGTTGCAAGTTTAAATCCTGCTTTTGACATGTTTATCAGATTTTAATGCCTAATTTTTTAAGAAAGAGCATCTATAGTCATACTTATAAGTGGCATTGTGATTAAATAAAATAATAAAAGAATGACTCTCATAGCAAATAATTTATTTTGCTGCTTATATACTGTTTTTTAAATTAAAAAAAAATTAAAATTGAAAAAGATAATGTGAGACCTATGCATATTTGATTCTAAATATTTGCTATTTTAAATGGAAGAGAATAAATTCACAAGAACAGTTGTTAATTTTTATATAACTTAATTAAACTAAGTACAGTAGAACCTCGAAAACTCGGCTCTCGATAACCTGGCACTCCGGATAACTCGGCCACACCCTGGCAGGGCAAAAAAATCATTAGTTAATTAATTTTCATTATAGACAGCTTTATAAAAGTATAAAAGCTCTCATAAAGTATTTTTCTGAGGTCTGTCTTATCAGGTAAATTACTGTACACAGTGTATTCATTAATTTTCATTTTCATGTAGTAAAGGCTCTATGCCTTCATAAAGGANTTAAAATATATTATTAATTACATATAATATGGGATATTAGCTCAGCTATAGTCAATTCGTAAAGTGTTTCGAGTTAATGCTGATCTGATGCCGTTTATCAGTTTGTTTAAATGTATGATTAAATAGACTTAAAGTGCAAATGAATCTTAAAATTTCGAATTTTAAAGAATGTGATTTTATATTTGATCGCCTCTTGTTCTCGTTTTCAATTGTCAGAAGTAAGCATAAGATTGCCCAGAACAGATCACACAGGAACACCTTTGTGGTGCTCCTGTGTGATTAGTGCTCTTAAACAATCTTATGCTTACTTCTGACAATGTTGTTTACTGTAATAAATATTTAATGTTTTTTTTTTTTTAAGTTTTAGTGAAATTCACTTAAGTGTAAATAGTTTCAGAGTATAAATTCTCACTGTCTTCCGTCCATCCGTCTATCTTTCCTCAATCTCGAGAACGGAGTTAGATAGTTGAAAGACGAGACCAGATTTAGAAACCGTGGGGTAGGAAGACCCATTTAACTATATAAGAACATCGACGCAAATCGGAAGTCATGTTATTTCAATTCAAAACTTCCCCCGAAAGGTGTTAGATAGATGGACCGGCACGACTCTATTGTTAAAGGAAGTATGATGTACAGGGGCAAGCCACTACTAATTTGAGGTGGAGAGCATATATTTTAAATTAACTAAATTTAAAATGTGATTAAAAATTGCAGATGTCACAATAAATAATTACTCGTTTAATTTTTATTTTTTATAAATGAAAGTGTCGTATTTTTTATGTTCTTTATTGATTTTAAACGCATTTCACATATTTAACAAAAAACAAAAAAACACGATTTATAATATGTTGACGAACGTGCTGATATACACGAATAATTTTTCCGATAATTGAACTTTTTATTTTCATTGGTTTAATACTTGAATTTTAAAGTCGAAAAATTTCTTAAATAAGAGATAATTTTTTCTGTAAATTATATTTGTATATTCAATTATGAATGTTTTTTTTATAATGATAAGTTATATACTTTCAATACTTTCGGTTTTTTTAATTAATTCTAAGAATTTTCTAGTGCAAAATATCTTGTATGTAAATATAAAATAATAAATTAATATAAATAAAATAAAAATATTTTGTTTAATTATTTTCAATTGCAGAAATGATCTTGTTTATTCTTGGTATGAGTTACTTAAAGTCTATATAATGCACTAAAATGTGATAAGTAGGAAAATACAAAGGCTATATTTTGTATAGGCCCTATACTGAATGATTGTACTGTAATTAAAAAAATAGTACCGAAACTCACCACTGTTGCATTTTTGTCACTGTAAGCAACAAAAAAGCAGTTTTATGTGTGGGGAAACTTAAAAAGTGTGGTTTATCGAGGACATATCGCGTATTTGACAGCCTTTAATAACAATATGCAACTGCATTGAGAATCATCACAGAGGATGAATTAGTCAGCCTTCAGAATGGGGATAACATCGAACAGTATCCCCTGTATTTCTGCGGTATTGCATGAGGATGCTGCGCAAATAAAATGCTTGTTACTAGCAGTGCTTAAATTGCGCTAATGGTGAGTTTTTGTTCTAAATTGCTTTTTACGGAAATATCTTCCTCACTTCCTAAAATGTCACCATACCAAATTTGGTTGTAGTTGGATTGCTAAATATCTCTCTGACAGCATTGATTACGGGTGCTTTAACTATGATCGCACAGTAGGCCTATGTACTAGTAAATACAGTTTGATTTGTACTCTAGATAATGTAAATTCGTGAATAATTCAAAATAAATCCTTTATTTTATGTTCTTATGAATGACAGTTACAAATTATATATTACAGTATTTGAAAACATGAATAATAACTTGTAATAAATATTAATTTCCTTCTATAAAATAATAATTAAAATTAAAGAAATTTTACAATTTACTGCTGAGAATAATAAATGACATTTGTGAATAAATGTCGGTTTTTTCCGAATATAATACAAATTAAAATAGAACAGATAATTAACATTATTTAAAATATATTTAAATTTTAATAAGTTCTATTACAATAAATATATTGAAAGACGTGAATGAAGATGCCAAACAAAGAAAGTTAAATAATGAATGACATCAAGCTTCTCTAGGGGGAGAAGAGAGGTCATTTGGCTAGGGCACTGCTAATAGAGAATTCCCAAAATTTAGTCTTTTATATAAAAAATCTAGGCTGTGAGTGATATAAGTTACAATTTCTTTTAATAAATGATTTTAAAATCTTTTAATTAATAGATTTTATATTTTTATGACTTTTTAAAAGGAATGATATCGTCTCATCTATAGATCCTTAAATCATACTTTTTATTACATTTGGTTGTATTAAAATCTTCGAAACATTTAAATGTATTTTACAATAATGCTGGTTGTCTGTCCTATTTTTTCTTTAATTATTACAAAACTAAAATTGATAACAGTGGGTCGAGAAACTTTAATCATTTTATTCTAAAGAATACAATTATTAAAATAAAATTTTAAAAGAGAAAATTTATATTTAAATTACTATTAAAATATTTTATTCATAATTTATTAACCGAAATGTGTATAGAATATTTTCATGATAAAATGAATGCTTATTATTATTAGAAATGATTAGAAATCGGAGAGAATGGAGATGAATCTCTATATTTATGGAGCGTGCTTAATTCTGAACAGTTCTTAAGTGTTGACTAATTTCGAATTTGATTAATTACGAAGGCGTACACGAACAACGTGATAACACGATTTTGACAGCGTAATCATCGATAATTGACCTTGACTTTCACTAATAACGAAATAATTTTTATCATATATAATTATAGATTTATATTATTTATATATCTGTCCCCTTTCGAGTTATTCCAATTAGACTGGCAACAAAAATATCTTTATTAATTCCACTAAAATTCGCATCCGGTGTCTGCATCGTAACTTTCCAATAACCGAAGTAGGGGCAGAGGCCTCTTAGGGGTACCTTCATTCAGTTGCACTCAGGTAATGTGACCTACATTGGTTTCCCTCCCTCCTATCCTTTCCCGAGTTCCGGGTTAAATAACCGTTGCAGACATTTCTTTTGTTTGCCAGACACGAATTTCTCCAAAGTACAAACTCTAATATCGCAAGAATAAAATAATTCGTAAACACTTTTCCCTTTCCTCAACAGCATATCCCGAAAGAAATGCTTAACACGTGTCTACCCGACCTATAATGGATACAGGGCTGATGCCGTGTCAAGGATGGAGCCATGTATATTTTAAAAAATTTAAAACTAAGTATAACCGAATGTGTAGAATATAACACTACATTCGACCTTTTGAATACAATAAATTTATAATGTATTATAAATAAAATTGCACGGTCCAACTGTCAAGAATGAAAAGGTGCGAAAGAATTTGTTTCTGGACAAATCTTTGACAACGACGACTGTTCAGCTACATGAACATGTTCCAAAGAAGCAGAGCATGAATACGCGTAAATTTAAGAATAATCTAGTCGATCAATATATTCTTTTTTTTAAATATATATATATATATATTCCTTTGTATCCATTCATAATGTAGGATATATAAAAAAAGAATGTTAGGATAAGAACAAGAAACACTTCGGATATATTTATTAATTAATTTTCTTAAATTAAAAGAAAATTATCAAACGAACGACAGGATTATCGGGCTATTAAAGCTTAAATAACTACAAAGCATTTGGCAAGAGGCGGGCGCCAGGCCTCCTTCTTTTGTTAAATGTGGCGGCCTAGCAGCCTTCATCTTGCTAAATTGCTTATTTAAGGTTTTCAAATTGAAGACGATAAGAAAAGATATAATTCGTGTCTTTGGCATCCTTTTACCGGGATTTTAAAAAAAATTCTGAGTTCGAACAGGGTCTGAATCAATTTCCTGATTTTGAAATAGAAAAATCCGCCTCTACTTTCCTCGCATCCTGTTCGACTTAAGAATATATTTTTAATGACGTCGGAGTTACGCCTAATGTTACAATAATAGCGATCGATGGATTTTAACCCAGTTTTAAGGAAATACGGAATTGTAATGGTCTGTTTGACCCATTAACCGATTTCACCAAAATTAGTAGAAAGGTGAGGTGATGCGCGAACGCCCAGGTCCGTGGCCAACACCAACGCAATTTGCATCCCACTGTGTCAGGAAGTCAGTTGTAAACAATGTCTTTCGGCTTCCTCCATTCTTTCTCCACCTAATCTTAGCCTATTGATACATTGGCCGAACTTTAATCATTCTTTTCAAATTCAAATTCAAATCCTTTAAAATAAGATCAAATTTTGAATGTCTAAATAATGAACCGGAAAACTTAAAAATGTATCCAATATTATACTTTGAAAATGTTTATATAGGGAAATTTCCCTATAAAGGTGTGTTAAATCCTCTTGCTTTATAGGGAAAGATCATTTAAAGTGTGTAGAAAAGCAAAATTATAATAAGTCAAAACTCATTATCAGAAGTGTTGCATAAAACTATTTTCCCTTGCTTTGCGTGTGACATAGCCTATAATAAAAGAAAATTGTAAATTCGAATGAATGTTTTCTGGATTTTCCATGTTTACTCTTAGCAGTCGTTGACCTACAGAAACCCTTAAAAAAAAGAAAAGAAAGAAATATATAATAAAAAGAGACGTGAGTGGCGGTTGCATAATCGTGTCACATTTTCCAATGAGACATTTCATCGGAATGCGGACCAGAAAATCCAACAATTTTGATACTTTTCTTAAATTTATAATGAGAATTCTCCAAGATAAAAACTTTTGGCGGTAAAAAATGCTATTAAAATTTATTATAAGATAAATGTATTCCCTATTTATAATATATATAGGATTAAAGACGAGACGGAATATTAAAATCAGGCATAGTGTTTACAAAAGTTGAATAGAAGTCAGCGAAGTAGTGCAAGATCGCAACCTTTCTCCTTAACCTCTGTTAGAATACATTAACCGACATTCAGACAAGGACGACCCAGAAAAAAAAAGAAGCGCTGACGTAATGGGCCGTTATCGACGCCTAACAATGACGTAATTAAGCTGGTATCCGATGAACCCGCCGAAATTCCCGAGTAAAATTCGGTTAAGAAGAGATAAGGTTTTTGAGAAAATCTCGAGCATGCGCTTTAAGAGTGTTGGGACCATCCAGGATCTAAGGAGTAGAAATGTAGGCCATTGCTACACAGGTCAGTGGAGGGGTTTGTTTGCCTATATAACAACTCCCAATCGTCGTCTCCTATTCACTTGGCCTATGCATTGACGGATACAACAGTTCTTCAGGTGGGCACGCTTTACCTTACTAAATTTACACTGTTTAATGCCTGCATTTTTTTGTACGTAAAAAGCAAATATATTATAATTATTAATTTAAATACTCTGTAGTTTAATTAAGTTTAATATATATTATAAAGTAAATTATTAGTCGTAATGTATTTGTTTTTTCTTAAGTATAGAATTTTACTGAATAGTATTAGAATTATATATTTAGAGGGGTATTTTTGTCACCTTCCGAGACAGATTTGGAGGTTTATGGGTCAAAAAAACGGATTTTCATTCGATGAAATCACCCAGAACATAAGTTATTTTTTGATAAAAGTGGGACGTCGAGTGTTGAAGGATTTGATGCTTGAATTAAGGACCTGTCATTACGGACGAGTGGAGTCTCGGCATTTCTATGATTCGTCTGAATGAAAAATTATAGTTTATGGTCGATTCGAACTGCAATTAGCATTTGACATTGGAATTTGCCTATGTTAATATTTAGTAGAAGTGGATCAAGAGCTCCTCGAATATTATGCTTGACCTGTTTTAATATGAGGTGGATAATATTATCTAACACGTGATTTGTATAGCTCTAATCGCTTTTCATTAAGATCTGTTATTTTTTCAAATGTTTTTAATATATATATTTTTTTAACGGTGGAATGCTAATTAGAAAGGTCGAAGCGAGTCAAGGTTACAACCCAAATGAGTTTTTTTCCCCCTCTCCGATCAAGTTCAATATAGGGAAGAGAAGAAAACAGGTTCGAATTTTTAATCTGGGACGATCTATAAATCGACCCTTTCGCGCCTTTTTAGTATAAGGGAATGCGGAACGAGGAAAAAGGAACAACTTTGCTCCACTGTCCCACTTCGCTAAGTTTTAGAAGATCGTCTTAGAGTTCCGTTAGATCAAGGGCAAAGGTCGAGTAGAAACGTGAGGTCGTAGTCACAATTCTAGTGAACGAAGAAGGTTAAAACGAACTGGAAAAAATTATATATTATCGGGTAATGATTGAAATTTGAACAATTTGAATTCAAGTAACGATTTATTTCGTGTTTTGAAAATTCTATACGACTAAATTAATTGAATTATTGTTGCAACCAAACCGGTACGATGGATAAAACCGGAATTGATCTAACCATCTGCTCCACTCCCCTATGCTCCCTCTTCATTTCCTGTTTTTCTCACCACGACATTATTTTTTAAAATAATTTACTACTAATGTTTATATATTTATAAGATATGTGTACTAATTTTGCGATTCTCTTTAACAGATACAAGTGGCAAACATGCACCCTGGTTATATAATAATCGTTTTCCTTCTGTCACAGGTGAGTTCATTTTTTTTTTCTTTCTTTTTATTACTTCTATAATTAACTTTACGAACGTCTAAAATATCTTTCAAGTCATTTAACCAGCCAATTTTATCATATTCGAGGCATTTTTCTACACATTTATTCTATAATCTAGAAACGTTTATAGGCTGAGGAATACAATTTATAAGTCTATAGTTTGAAAAAATTTCTTTTATAATTTATACTCAAACTATAATTTTCATTAATAAAATTTATGTATAAAGAAATTATAACATAAAAATAAACTCCTTTCGTGCAAAACTCTAAAAAAATAGTTAATAATTTGCAAAATTACTTTGCATTGGCCTTAATAACGTGAACTTTAAAAACATCTTATAAAATATCATTATTTACAATAAGAAAAAACAAAATATGTGGCTTCTTAACAGGATTTATATTAAGCTCGATACATTATTTGTTTTTCTGCATATTGTTTTCAAGACAGGAAGAACGAGTAATCAGATTACCATCTCTAGTATCTGACGTGGAATGGTGTTTTTACGTAACATTAGAATACTCAGGCCTGATTTTTCATTAAAAAATAAATAAAAAATTAAGCTCTTACGTAAAAAAATCTCTTTTTTCGTTCATCGTAATCGATTTTAATTAATAATTATCATAATTTGCAGTAATAAATAGGTTGGTATAGCCTTACTCTCTGTTTTGTTCTCGTACACTTGAATGTTGGTAAAAAAAATACACAATGCAATTAATGTGCACGGTCGAGCGAATATAATTTACATATTTAAAAAAAATTGCAAAAATGTAAAAAATTGTACGATGTTTTCGTCATTGATGGGAAGAATTCTTTAGATGTGTATCGTTAAGGATTGAATGGTTGGTTTATTGGGAGCGAGAAACCAGCATTTCCGTTAAAAGTGCGGGCACGTGTGATCGATAGAAGAGGTTGTTCGCTCGAATGAAAATGTGGGACACGCTATTAACTTAACCCATTTCGTGAAGGAGCGCATTGAAGACAGTAGACAACCCGGATTTAGCCGGGGAGAGGCTGTCGTTCCGTCTTATTTCACATGGCACAAAGGAAGCAGCAGCCCATTAGATCTTTCAAGATAATATCCCTTACTCTGTTAATCCTTTGCCATTAACTTCAACGTGTCCACACTTTTCACTTTGAAAAAAGTGAAAAACATGGACATTTCTCAGTCCGATTTCAATTCGTCATTTCTTGTGTTCTAAAATTAATACATTTTAATTATATTTCTAAAATAATCGAATATTTCTGAAGATTATTTTTATCTGAGTTTAATAATTTTTCTCTTTTTTCAAAGTAATTTTTAATGTAATGCCACATAAGAGTGAAGCTTAAACATTTCTTTTTGCCTTACACAAAAGCATTTCTATAATTTAGTTTTGTTCACAGTTTGTGGAAAAATGTTCAATCATTTCCATGGAAAATGAAAGCTTAAATGTTAATTTATAACGAAGAGTGCGGGACGTCTAACCTAGCGTTGTATGTAGATCAGTTACGTACAACGTTAGGTTTCGTATAAATTGCAAACATTTACAATATTAAAGCTAAACAATTGCATTTGTTGTAATAGTAATTTGATGGTGGAGACTGAGAATGGTAAAAAACTGTTATGAATTGTGCGTGTTCGGAAGCGATTGTTTTATAGTTGTTATAACGTAATGCTTCATTCTAACGAGTAGCTTTCAATTTAATTTTGATTTTATTTTTTTTGACAATTTTGATGATCACTCTTAAAACAAATAATGCTATATATTTTGAATTATTTCCTAAGTAAACGTTAAAGAAGTATTTATAAAGCTGACGTCGGGTATATTTCTCTAAAATTAAAGTATTTGCTTTATAAAAGCTGCTATTTACAAAACTATGTAATTTCCAGTTTTGCACAATATTTGTCTCAAAAATTCTCAAAATTATATTATATTTTTAAAATTTTTCTAATAATCAAAAATATATTGGAATTAAAAATAAGAAGAAAGTTATTAATTAAAAATGGCTACATTTACATTTTAGATTGACGTCAAATTCGCAACATTTATTTTAAATTTCTCAAATTGCTTTATTTGCTTAGTAATTGCAATATAATAAAAGCAATTTAATGGTCATTTACCTTCAAATGGCAATCGTAATGAAATATCGAAATCCGTAAATTGCAGCACCATATTATAAAATTATAACAAGTAACCACTTCAGGAACTGCTTGTTTTTTATTAATAAAACGTTTTTGACCATACATTCGGTCGACCATCATCAGTATCCGTTAATTAAGTAAAGCTCTTTGTCATATTATTCATGTTCTTAGAATGCCATACACAACCATGGAAAGTGTTAATTAACAGCATACATGAATGCCGTATTTGATTGGAAATATGAAGAAAACTGTTGGACAAATCGTGTTTAAAGCTTTGCAATTATGCTGGAATATTGATTATTGTTTGAGAAATTTTATGTTGTAAAAACATTAATTCTTAATTAATTTTCTCGTATTTCTTATCAAGATAATAGAGATGCTACTGTCAATTAGAGGGACTTAAAGAATAATCAACGGCCTGATCTCTTTAATAGTTATACTTACTTAATGCATATTTAGATAGCTGTTAGATAAAATATTTACGGTTGTGAAAAACCATGCGAATTTCACTCTTCTACGATTTCTCCCATAGGAATATTGATGTGGTGGTGAATATTTTATTTCGTCATTAATAAATTAATCATAATTTCGAACGGAATATTCAATAAATAGTGTAATATTTAAGTATATTTTTACGCTTTAAAGCATCTTTTATGATTTCATCCGTATAAGGGGGAAAAATTGTTAGGACACGAATGTATGCCGAGAGTTGAATTTCGTAATTTACAATTTATAATCACATAGGTCTATAAATGATAGGATTTTATTATGCTTCAAAGAAGGAAACACCCTCCGGAAATAAACAGACCGTGAGAAATGAATTTTCATAAATGGCTTATTTCCACTCTATTGACGCTTCTCAGTTATTTTCTTATCGTTATCGATCGAGTGATGAATGAATGCGGAAATTTTACACGCACCCCCTTTTATGTTGGCTGTAGAAAATCTTCACGTGTTTCTTTTAAATATATGTATTTTAGAGTAATATTTTTAATATTTCCTATCGTTATTCATGAAATTATACTTTCAGGGTTTTTGCAAAGAAATTGATAGCACTCAAGATTTACAACAAGAAGAATCTGCAAATCTTCCTGCCGAACACAGAGGGCATTATGGACCTCCTGACGTGCATCACCACTTAGAGTCTATAAACGAAGTTTGGCCGGCGGGAAGGCCAGATATGCCTCAAGTTAAAGGATTGAATGTAAAATGCGAAAAAAATCACATGAAAGTTTATATTCAGTTCGATAGGCCTTTTTATGGAATGGTATTTAGCAAAGGCCATTACAGTGATCCCAGTTGTGTTCACATGCCGCCGAATTCCGGTCATTTGGAAGCCAAATTTGATATTTTCCTGGGAGCTTGCGGCATGTCGGGTAACCATCACGGGATCCAAAATCATCACGGTGATGGAGGTGGTGGTCTGTTTATTGAGAATACGATTATCGTTCAGTACGATCCTCAAGTACAAGAAATTTGGGATCAAGCCAGAAAATTAAGATGCACTTGGTACGATTATTACGAAAAAGCTGTGACATTTCGTCCTTTCGGTGTAGATATGCTGGATGCCATTACCGCAAATTTTTTAGGTGACAACATACAATGCTGGATGCAGATTCAAGTGGGTAAAGGACCTTGGGCTAACGAAGTTTCTGGAATAGTGAAGATCGGTCAGACTATGACAATGGTTCTGGCTATTAAAGACGACGAAAAGAAATTTGACATGTTGGTCAGAAACTGCATTGCACACGATGGCCATCGTCAGCCCATCCAATTAGTAGACGAATACGGATGTGTAGTACGACCGAAAATAATGAGCCCTTTTCAAAAAATAAAAAACTTTGGAGAAGCAGCTTCAGTAATGTCTTACGCTTACTTTCAAGCTTTCAAATTTCCTGATTCTATGAACGTGCATTTTCAATGCGTCATACAAGTATGCAGACGAGAATGCCCCGAGCCAAAATGCCCGGGAGAATTCGAACATCAACATTACGTACCCGAACCACGAGAACCTTCGGTAGCTTATTCTGATCTGAATCCAGCCATTGAAAGTGCTCAAAATATCAAATCAGAAGGCGTTAAAGCACAACAAATAGCTGTAGATATCAAAGCCAGTGGACTGAACGCGCAAGAATCTATTAAAAAGAATAGCGCATCTCAAGTATTCTATAACAGAAAGGGCGAAATCTCGGAAAATGACAAAGAGAACGATCTAGATCGTAAACCTTTATATGCTATAGCAGGAACAGGGGGAATGCCGAGGTCACTCAATGTGACTAGGAGGAAGAGACAGACGGACGATATGAAGGATATTCAGACACAAAAGGTAATTCAAGTAGTAGCGCCCGGTGACGTGGCATTTGCTTTGCCAAACACTCAGAACGAAACGGTGGTATATGCCACTCCCAGTCAGCATAATACTAGTTCTATTTGTATGTCTCTCCCCGGCTTCACTGCAGGATTGGTAATTCTCCTCCTCCTCTTCATTGTGTCCACTCTGGTAGCAGCCTTCCTCTTCTTAAGAATTAGACATTTGACGTGTAAAGAAGAACAAGACTGTATAAAAAACGGTTTCAGCTACGGAAATCCGAGAGAGATCGTTAATGTGATGATGCCCGTGACCAAATGAAGATGCCCATAATTATTGTAGAAATGATTTAAACTTTTGATATCGAGTGCCTAAAAAAAAAGGAGATTTTCTCCCTGTCATTACGTATTTAATGTAACACTTCGTGCACGTTTTAATTTCACCATCACCGAATAATTTTAACTATTTTAGTAGATTGTTTTTGGTAAGCTTACAAGAACTTTGAGGAAGTTTTCACCTAAGCGTTTTACTTCCTTTTGGACATACTGCTGGGCCAGTCATTATATTTATTTAAGTACCTTCAATGAAGTGTATAGTAAATCGGAAATTCCTACTCCTTACAAACTGCCAATTTGTTTTGCAAATAACGTAGCTAGAAACTTGGGAGCTTTGACACATTAACCGATTACTTTTATTCTCCCAGATTCATATACTCATGTTTTCTAACTTAATATATCGATTTGAAACATGCCAAGGGAGCGTGTTCAGCCCGTCCTAGACTCGTCTGTATATAATTTTATTATTAAAAATGTTTTAAATCCTATTCATGTTATTTAAATGTTTTTATTCTTGTAAAATAATTTATAAAATATCAAATATTTTTTACTATATAAAACTATTTTTGAAAAGATAAATAACTGTGCTCAGAATTTATTTACTTTTTAAAATATACGAACTATACATCCAAATGACATCTGTACATTTTAGTCAATAAATTAGTGAATGAATCGTTTCAATTGATGTAAGTTATTCATTGGAACCATATATAAAAATACTTTTTATTATGGTTATATTGCTATAAAACCAAATTACTGCGATCGTATAAACGCCGCCATACTTTAATAGGAAGTGATTCTAATAAAGCATTTCTGTACTTAAAGGCTATCTTCTCTTGTACGGATTCGTATCCCAATTTATTCCACAGCGAGCAAACACCGCGACGATAATGATTCATCAGAGCCACCTCTTCTTTAATGATGCTCATTGGTTTCCACCTTTGTCGAGTTAATAAGATCTTGTGGATCCCTGGTAGAATTGTCGCTAAAGGCCTGACAATAGATTTAGCACGATTACTCCAAGGAAATATTTCACTTTTGCGTAGATCCACCGTCTGTGTGATCAGAGGTAGCTTCATCCGATGAGGAAAATTTGCATAATCTAAACAGAAAAACACGTGCTTGAAAACGAAAGAGGCAATTCGATTAGTGTTATTCGACGAAGCAATGATCCTTTGCAGAGAATAATTTTGCCTGGGGACGATAAATTCGTCGAAATCTATCACAAGAGCAAATTCGTGAGTGGATGCCACTCTGTAGACACAATCGGTAATGGATAATACCTGTCCATAAGACCACATGTTATAAAGTACTTGAGGCATATCCCAAGGGAGGATATCCATAGATATTCCCGACGAAGATATTTCTCTAAGTAGGCGGAGCAGCGAGCTTTCGGCTTCGAAATTATAAAAAACGAAGTGATCGGCTCCTAGCAAATGATAAAAGGCGATAAATTCTGCCACTTGAAGATTATTATTCGAAAACGTACCAAAGAGTGGACGGACACAAACAGCAATTTTGTTTTTGATATTGCCAACGGGTACTAGAGTTCGAACCGGCATCCAAGTGGAGTTCCTGCCATTTCTAGCCGATAACATTATCTTCATGGGCCTCCTCCTGTCGTTCGGATAACAAAAGAAAAAAATAGGAGTGTAACTTTTACCGTGATTTTCGAAGTCCATTATGCTAAAAGTGGCGTTTCCTTTGGTTATACTAAGGCTTTCTGATAAAAGATAGCATTTAATTGTCTCCAGTCTTTCGTCGTAAGGACCCGATGCCAAAATTTTCACGTGTGGTTCTTCTCTGTCGTCCCAATAGGCAGAATACATAAAGGTGGTTCCGAAAATATTGTGCCAACTGCTAGATATGTGTTCGAGGGAAGGAATATGCAAATCACTATCGTCTCTAAAATAAATGATGACATAGACGACGAACAGCATTACAAGAAATGCGATTATGATTTTTATCCGATTCCGACGTAAACTACTTTTCTTCATCACCTGAAAAATAACAAAAACCAATTATCTTTAGTAGCCACCTTGTGAATTTATCAAGAAAAATTACTTAATAATTATTGTAATTTAATGAATACCGACCAAACAATGAAATAAAAGAAGTTATGACACAGAAAACAGAACATTATTATTGTTTTAATCACCAGTTCGGATCGATTATGTTAATATAATAAATATGAAAATGAAATGAAAATGTAAGAAATAAAATAACAGAAAAACTTTATACAACGGAAATGAAATTTTAATTGATTATAGATGGTTTTTATTTGTTGAATCGCGGGCCTCTATAGCAACTCTGTGTTTAAAAATACACGAAGTTTCAATTCATTGCACAAATATTCTCTTATTATTATTTCATAAACACTAATTAATAATCGAATAATTAGTTCTAATTTCCAAAATACCTCGATTGAGTCTACATCATAAAGAACTCTAATTCCAAGATGTCTGTTCTGTGTCATTTATGTGTATAATAAATGACACAGAATATATTCGCAGTAATTATTCTGTGTCATTTATTAAAGGAATTAAAGTATTATAATTCGCAGTAAGCAGTAAACTTGAAAAGATTACTAATTATATATTAAAGCATGATTCATACAATTGAATATAATTCTATTTAAACAAAATAAATTAAGCCAAACAGTTGCAAAAATAAAAATAAAACTTACGAATACAGTTCTCATTTTAAGAAATAATAATACTAAAAAATTTTGCAGTCGAACTTTTCAGTAAATTAAATATTTAGTTGTTAGCACAATCTGGCATTTAGATAATTTTCTACAAAGTTTACGAATGAGCTAATTCTCCAATAAAAGTAGCCAATTAAGTTAAGTGCTTATTATTCCGAATCGATTTATTTTACCTCTAGATTATATAATTAAATTATTGGTTCGAACAAGATGTTTGACATTATTTGGCAATCTGCCTTGGAATACTTTGAAGAAAACAGATGTTTTCTGCAAGTAAAAAGAAGGAAAAAAATTACTTCCTATCTGCAGATGCAGTTCTCACAAGTTAAAAAAAAATCAATTTTAGTTGTGGCTAAAAATAAATTATTACTGGCGAACTCCGACGTCTGGAAGTATTTTATTATTCAAAAGTACGTGTTCTTTTAAATAATTAAATACCCTTTCGAGTGCCATTTTGGCAAATTTCGGTGCTATTCAAGTCAAATATAATTTCAGCTTTTCATACTTTTTCAAAATGTAAAAGTTATCCTCGTATGATAACTTATGCCAAAAATGATCTCTTTATAAAATTATTATACAATAAGCTATATAATTACATTTTCATTATAAAACTATGTATTACTTTTAGTACACACACCTAATTTCTCTGTAAATTAATAAATAAAGCTTTATTAAAGTATATAATCTTAATCTGAAAAATTTAATTTTTTTAAAAAGTTACTTTTAAATACAGTAGACCCCCCTCTATAACACTGATAATTCCGTGTTATATGAATTCCATGTTGTACGAGTCACTTATATATTATATATTTATTTTTCACATATTATATTATTATATATTATTTTTTTTCACAATAAAATTGTAACATAATAAGCTAAGTGATCATATTTACATTTTCTCACAAGCTACAATTATGTTATCTATCTACTTGTAAGAACTAAGTATTTAAATGTATTGATATTTTCAAAAAAAATATTTGCAGTTAAACAATTTAATTCTGAAATTAATGTATAAAATTATATTTTAAATTTTAATGTGATTAATTAATTATCTTCAGAAATTACATCAAGATGCTTCAAAATCTTAAATCTTGGTATGATTTCTTTGGCTTATAGAAGTAGCAATTTAGTATGGATTATATTCGTTCACTGAATCTAAATTAGATTATGATATTTTTAAAAAGATCCATTTAGTTATTGATACATAAATTTCCATATATAAATGGGTGTAAACCTCTCTCTTCTCTAGTTTTATATGAGTTATCTGATACTGATCATTCTTTTCTTGGCAAATAAGTGCAACAAATATACTTTCTACTGTTTTAATATAGTTTATATATATATTACAATCATTTATGATATTTTATATTAATATTTGTAAGAAAAATTCATAACGATTATTTTGAGTCATCACATTTCCACGTTGTTAAAAGGCAATAAATGAACCGTTGCAGTGCTAACGTTAACGAGTGTCATTCTTGCATGAATATGTTACGCTTTCAATGTTTATAGCATTGCATTATATTTATAAAAATAAAAAACGAGAAATAATTTATATGTTTTTTTTCCACGAATTGTAATTTTTAACATAAAACACCTAATAATTGGCATTGACGCGTACAAAGTAATATTTATTGATTTATTACACGTATTTACTAATTAAACAGGAAAAAAATAGATTCCTCATTAAAAAATTTAGGTCAAAAAAATGAGCCATTAATCTTTATGTTTCTGTCGTTAATAATTGTATCTATAAACGAGAGGAAATAGGAAATACTTATTGTCCTTGAAAAGCTTCAGTACCATTGCCGGCATTATTTTAAATATTTTAAAATAAATAAATACATAAATTTGTATAATGTTTTTGTAAACAATGTTATATAAAAAAAATACGAGAGTTTATTTGCTATAATTCCATCGATTGGCTGCAACTGATTTTATTTTATTTTATCCATAGGCTGCAAGGATATTGACTGCAACTTATCGATCCTTCTAAAGAGACCTCTCTTATATCAGTAATGTAAATAAAAGTTTAGATAACTTTCTACATTTTCTATTAAAATTTGCTTATAAATCAATAACAGGTTTTTCTTCGCGAAAAATAAAAATTTTAGAAGGAAAAACAAAATTAATTTTAATAAATTCGTTTCCTTTTCTAAGGATAAGATTTTTTATTATATTCTCTTCTTAATTTTTGTGTACGAAATAAAGTCGAGAGACTAAAATTAGAAGTTTACTATCGATGTATGTAATAAATGTCTAAAGCGGGCATCACCATTGGTCAAGTACAGTACATCCCGGATATCATCACTTAAACGTTTTCCGCAAGGTGTGAGAATATCAACGACGACTAACTTCGTCTATTGTTGGTTAATACTCGTTTTTCTTTTTCAGCTGACAGGTAAGATTCGTCCCTTTTCATTAACTAAGACACTCGTTAATTATAGTTAATAGGTTACACGATTCATTTCTATTGTGTTACTATAAATAATAGGTCGATTATTTATAAGTTTACTTATTTAAATACAGTTGAACTGTAACTGTAAAGTGACAAAGAACATCTCTAAAAAGTTTTAACAAAAACTAACTTCGGCTTGTGTTCTATTATAATATTTTATGGAAATTTAAAATATGGGACAGTCCATTATTTACGTGTACAGTTTTTGAGCCACTTTGATACCTCCTTATATACCACGATGTACTTTTGGCAAACCGCCTCTCCTTTAATTACTTATACAATCATTTATGGAACCCAGTTATTGAAGAAATGACTTAATTAAAAACCCGCTGAAAATATTTTCTGATAATTTATTCACACGACTCGTAAGTAGACTTACAAGAACAAGTCACTAATACCATTGAAAAATTCTATATAGACAATGCCTCTTTCCTTCCCTAACGTGTACAATGATGTACTTTTCGCGATTCCCTCCCTTCTTTAAACTGTACACGTAATTAATAGACGGACCGATTCCAATATTTATAAAATAATTGTTTAATTAATAAACTACATCAAGCTGCATAATTTTTAAAGACTTAATGGATAAAATTTAATCAAAGTCTAATAATAATGTATACGTATGTGGATAGTGTTTGAAATTGCAAAATGTCATTATTATTTCTAAAGTAAAGTCTTAATTTTAAAAAATCATATTAGGCTGTAGAGGTTATTACTATTTAATGAAAGATTCTATTCAAATAAATGAAGAAACTTCATTACTTTTGAAAGATTCTTTTAGATGGGAGAAAAATTTGAAGTTCATCAGTGGCCGAATGGATAAAACAACTGACATTAGTCATAGGATCGTAAGAAACGGGCTGGCCACGTGGAGTTGTTCGGGTTTTCTTCATGTTTGTAACACCTAAATAGGGATTAGTTTCCCCATAGAAAGTTCTCAGGGAGGCACCCCCCTCGGAAGATCTTCCGGGGGATGCCTCCCGGAATTACAAATTTTAGTTTTTATACACAACGCGACATGTGTGTCACTTTGTGTATAAAAACTAAAATTTGTAATATTAATCCCATGTGCAAAGTTTCAGAAAAAAAAAAAAAAAAAAAAAAACACTCAGAACAAACAGAACAATAAAAAGAAAAAAAAAAGGTCAGAAAATTTTCCAGATTGTCATTTGTCCCGTGTTTTATAGCAGGTAACAGATGTGTCGAGTTATTACTTATTTCCCCCCAATTCTTTATATGAAACGAAACTATTTTCATAGTCTAAATGATCTTCAGTCCGTAAAAAGGTCCACCTACTATTGATACTGATTATTCTTTCTTTTCTCGCTCTAACGCAATTCTTCTTTTGCATGTTTGAAAGATCGAAAGATGATAAGGAACGCATTATCCCGGGGGCAATTTTCATAAAATACTAGTTTCTACATTATGATCATCTGCAAGAAATTAGAACAGCAGTTTTTTTTTCCTTAACTGTAATGAGAGCCGAAAACTGCCTTTGTTTGGTCAAGCGTAAAATAATGATATAATTGAAGGACACGAAACAGTTGCCTAAAGCATCTTAATTTATAATCGTATTGAAATTTGGGCCCACTTCCTTTTTGACTTTTTTTAAAAGTTTGCACTAAATTTTATTTATGATTTTGACTAAATTAATTAATATAAATTACGTATCATTTCAATTTCTTCATTGTTATTTTAAGAAAAATGCTGTATATTAGGCCTGTGTGTATTTCTAGTATCGTGCAATGGCGTAACTAAAATTAATGAAGCTTGAGGGTTCCCAAAGCTTTTTTATTTTCAGGGCCCTATTCCCAGGCGGGCTCTGGTACAACTTTTTTAATGAGTAAATTCTCAATAAAATGGATGGAGATTTTTTAAAAAGTGATTTACTATTAAAATAAGGTTATTATAATAGGTTAAAATACTTAATATTGACCTTATATCTGCTCTAATACCCATTTTATATGGCCTCAAAATTTTCCTGTAATTGATCAGATTTCAAAATTTTCTTGCGAGCTTGCAGTGCCAATCGCCAGCTGTACGAACTTAGGGTGCGACCATGCAGACGCGAGCGAGCGAATTTTCCGAGTGAGCGAGAATACCTGGCGAGAAGAGACGAGACGCAATAAATATCAAACCCTGTCAGATATGTGCTTCTCGCTTGTGCATAGTTTTCCTTTGCGAGAACTATGTCGCGCTCGCTACTAAATTCGCTTCTGCATATTCGCACCTTTACCGAACTCGCCAGAATCTATTCATAGCCTACATTTTTTCAGCTGAATCCTCGAATCCTTTGTTGGTGCACGGCTTAACAGTTCTGTAGATCAGCCCTTAGGCTAGAGCCAATCGAGACTATAAAAGAAAAAATATATAGGCCTTTATATCTGAATTCTCAACTCCAGCTGCATCGTCTCGCTTATGCATTTTAGCACCATTAATCAGATTTTCATCTCTTTATCCTAACGACCCCCTCTGATGACCTTCCACTTCTCTAGTAGAGAATGAACCAATACATTTTCCGCGCATTGATGTTGAATGGTGCAAATTTCGTTCCTCCAAATTTTCATTTTCTTCGTTTTTGGTAAGTTTTCGATTATATCTCTGCTGTTATGAAAACGTTCATTCTTTTTACAAATATAAATAAAAGAAATTATTTGATGCCATTAAAAAAAAAAAAAAACTTAATTTTCCATGCATCAATAAATTACTTTAATGAAAGCATTGAAACAATAATGAAAATGGGGGAAGGATTTTTACTATTTTTTTAGTAGGAAAAAAAGATTTAAATATATTTAAATATATTTTTATTTAATTCAAGTGCTTAAAATGGTGTAAAAAAAACAGAGTTTTTGAATCTAAAATAGACAAAGATCGCCATACAATCAAAATATTCTATAAGCTATTCTTGATTATATTAACGAAATTTCAATTCAAAAATGCTTACAAAAAATAAATAAAATGTGCATTTTAGCAAAAAAAAATTATGGCATACAACAAAAGTATTATATACTTGTCATAGTTTTCTTTGCTGAGCTGATCAATACACTAACAAATTGTATTTTAATACAGTATATTACAGAAACCTTGAAAATCTTGAAATAATTTTAAGGTTTATAGATCAACATGCCCGTATTTTAATTCATTTTAAATATAGATTAGTAAATAGAGTTAAAAACATATATATATATAAGTTATATCATTTTCTAATTATAAATGATATATGTTTTCAGATATATATAAGTTATATATGATATCATTTACATTGTATCAGAAATAATACTTATATCTGTAAATGTTATAGAACTATGAAAATTTGGCATGATTCAATGAAAATTTCAGTTCGGTTCAGTAATACAGGAACGAGAAACGTTATTAAAAGATTTAAAAATTCGGAAATAGCAAAATCTGTTAAATATTCATTAATGAGAAACAATGAAAATTTGTTAAAATTTCGTTATTTTGTGTTTAGAATACAAAGTCTTTTGTCATACTATAAGGTTTATTGTTATAAAATGAATATGTAGCGCGTATGTTTTGATTCTTTAGAAACTGTTTTCTTTTGTACTCTTTCCGTACTTGAGCATAAGAGAAATTGCTTGCCATACTTACTGCGGAGGGATTTGATAAGGCCTAAACGGTAGGGGACGGAGTCTGACGTATTCGGACCAGACCACTAATGAAAAGTTCCGAGGGATCCGACCCGGATCAGAACCCGGCTCCTGGAAAGTAACAGGCATGCACATCGTCCATTGATATATTAGGATCAATAAATAAGTAATTACTCTCAGTATTTCCTATATTGAAAATTTTTTCCGAAATTTGACATTTACAAATATATCATGCTTATATATAAAATATTACCAAATTAGATTAATTAATTGATTAATTTACAAAAATGAGGCATCAAGTTATGAAAAGGCTGTTTGATAGGTCTCAGTTCATTAATTGCGGATTAATTGCACAATGAGATCGATGAGGAACAATAATCGGCCTTACTTATCACGATAAATAACGGGATCCCGAATTAGAGTGAACCGAGGATTCATTTAAGTTTATCTTAGGTTATCTGGCCGACCTAATGGGAGTAGATCAGATGTTTCGAGAGGATGCATTATTCTACAGCTATATAATTCATCTTCCCAGAAATCTTACCCGTAGCAAGTGGTTTTAAGAAAGGAATTGATTAGCTCACTTATGGACCTAATGCCAATTCTAATGGACTCGTTCTAAGCTATGAGTATTTGTGAAAAATCAAAAGGATCGTGTCTAGTATTTAGGGGCGGATCTACATAGAGACTAATAGGGCTTAAGCCCTGGGCCCCAAGTGTCAAGGGCCCACAAAAATTGAATTATCATCATAAATTTTTTAATACTTTTTCATTAACAATGAGCAATTATCGTACAGTAAAAATAGTAAATATTAATAATATAATAATAATGATAATTTATTATTTGTTTTATTATAATCAATGTAACGTATGGTCAGATCACCAAGTTGCAATTTTAAACCCCAATTTAAAGATTCTTAATCTAACAAAACATGGGGCCCCATTGGACTTCAATAAGCCCTAGGCCCCGAAAAACCTAGATCCGCCCCCCGCTAGTATTTAAAACAGCCGATCCCGCTCTTTATTTTCGGTTCATATTCATTTCTTTGTAAATTCCATCCTATGTGTATTAAGAAAAGTCTGAAAGGTCTACGTGCACTAAGAAAATAACAATTTCGTAGTTACACTTTTTCAGCTGTAACTTTAGTTTTCTTGCTCTTTCTGCTCTGTGGGTACTAAAAAGGACTTTTTCCATACTCATTGTGGTTTTGGCCAGGTTCACATTGGGGGCAGCCGGATAGTGAAGGACTATGCCCAATATATCCGGCGACAGACTGCTCACAAAAAAATTCTTGAAGTTACTCGCACGAATTCCATTAGGGCCCCCAAGCCCACCAGTGGCTAAGCGGTTCCGTTCCCCGAACACTGGGTTCGCGCCTCGCCAAGACGGACTGGCCGCATGGAGTTTTCCGGGTTTTCTCCATGTCTGTAACGCCTGAATAGGGACCATTTGCCCTTAAAAAGACATCCGGAAGGCATCCCTCTAGGCAGATCGCTCAAGTGTTGCGTTGCCGTAATTTAACAAAACAAACAAAGCCCCCAAGATGTAGGCTGACGCCTTAACTATCTCTGCCATCCGCCGTCTCTTTTCAGCTTTTATTGACGTCAATTAAATATTAATTATTAATTATTTTTAATAATCAATCAATTATTATTAAAAAGATTAAAAGTCTTAATATTTATATTATTATTATATTTATATGTATAGTCTCTTGTAACCAATAGAAAGATTAATAGTGTTTATAGATATTATATAATTGTTATAACAAAGCGAGGAGTTTCATTCCCTAAAACACTTTATTACTATTACTATTATTATTATAAGATAGTTAAAGAGAAATTTTATTTATAGATGAAATATATTTACTTACATTTATTTTTATTGCCTTTTAATTATTAATTTTTGGACTTGATTTCTTACTTTTCAACTCGAGACGTATTTCTTATCTTATTCTTAATTTGAATAACTAAAGATATGTCAAATAGGAAATTACGTTTCACAAATCAAAATATTTGCATAAATAAACTTAGAAACATTATTTTTAAAAATTTTAATTATTTAAAGAAATTTAAAGAAATAATTATTTTTTAAAAAAGTAGTAGTTATTATTTTTAAACACAAATTAAAATAAAAATTACAATTTTATGCAAATTAGCCATCGAGTAAGTCGGATGCAAAAAACGGTTGTTTAAAACACTCGATTTTCTTTATTAACTCACATCACCGGTTATTGCAAGAAATTCTTGAACCGCGGGTGTCACCTCCACGGTAGTGACATGTGCTTCTTTTTCAATATGGCTGCAAGAAAAGGCGATTTTAAGGAAGAAATGAAGAAAGTTTTGTTAATAATTTACGATCGCTGCACGTTATAAGATCTAATCCTTTTTAAAAAAAATGTTCTGCCAATATTAATAGAATAAACTTCGTTTAAATGGTGTAAATCACGGGTGGGCGACCCTTGGCACGTGTACCAAACGTGGCAAGCCAACGACTTTTTTCTGACACTAGCCTTAAAACAAACATCCGGCATGTTTGCTGAATTGTATATTATTTTAACTTAATAGAATACAATTTTATCGAGTAGAACGATACTAAATAAAAATGCAACAAAGAAACAAACGCTATCAACTGTTTTAGTAATAAGTAGGCCTAATAAGAAAATGAAACGAACATCCAATTTCCAAGAAATCAAGATTTACAAGTTTCATATCATTCAGTTGTACATCATTTGACAGACGGCCAAACTCGGAATGATTTCTTTACCATCATTTTATATATTTCTTTTGTGTTTCGTAAAGAATTTATCGGGTTGGAAACCCGATAAATTCTTGTGTGTGTATGTAAGTAGATTTTTCGTTATTTGAAAAAGTTCTTTCAATACTTAAAAGACACTAAATATGCTCCCAAATCTATGATGAAAATTTTGCATCATAGATTTGGCAATGTGGTACGCAAACTTAAAAAGATTTCCCATTCTTGATCTAAATAAGATCAAGAATGGGAAATCTTTTTAAGTTTGAGTACCACATTGCACAATGTTATCCGAATCACTTGGTAAAGCGTCGTGTTTAATAATAGTTTTGTTTTATTTTTTCATAATAAAGCAACATTCAAATTGAACAGAACTAGCGCATAGTGTCGCTGCAAGGCCGCGGGATCTAATGGCAGGAACTCATTCATTCAACTTATCATTAATTAAAGTAATCTCTACTTTTTGCATGAAGGATCGATTGCATTCATTATTAATTCTCGAAATTATAACTTCGTATCTAATTTGAAAGAGAGAAAATTTGATGTCAATTGAGATGATGATAAACTTTCTAAAAACATTTGGGAACTATTGTTTTAGCTGTGAAATAACTGTATTGCACTATATTGTTCTCTGCATTAATTCATTTTTATATGTTATTAATAACAAATATTATTAGAAAAAAAGCATGCAAATGCGAAATGAGGTGTCAGCCTATCGCTATGAGCAATCCGGAATTGGGTCCAATATCGGATTTCTATTCTCGTAATTTATCATTGATGGAACATTTCTCATTCATCATTTCCATTTCTCGTCCGTACTTACACTATTTCGGCTCAAGCTAACTAGCAGAGAGTAATTGTAACCCGCAATTTATAGCTTTAGTTTGCTGGTACTTCGTGTAAATCAATCAATAAAATCAAACATTGCAGCGTCTTTGCTTTCTAACGATTGTTTTTGGAACTTGGACTCTCAAAGTAGATGTAAAACGCGTCTTGAAGCTTGTCTTAATATCAAAAAGTTAACCATTATGAATTATAATAGTTATTTGGTTGGAAAAAGTGATTATGATATATTTATTTTACTTGCTGAAATATTAATATTTCACTAACAAATTCAATCTTTGCCAATGATCCTGGTTTGGGGAAGATGTGGGGGCCATTGTTGGTTGGCCATGACAATATTTCAAAAACTATAACCATTATTGAATTAAAAGCGATGCATTTTATTAGAATGTGTGATCAGATACTAATCCATCAGTACACGTCGATCAGGTGTGTAATATGATTATATATTTGTAACGTTCGTGTCGCCAAACAGCCTAAAGTATGCTTTTATATATTTTTTTTTATTGTTATAACTTTTTTGGTAAATATCCTTGCATGATATTATTCCTGTTGGCATTTCGAATCTGAACTTTTTTTTTTTAATGTTCGCCAATTTCCCGGGAAATATTTGCGATAAAATTATGAAAATCAAAATGTTAAGTTGAAACATCTTGTTTCAATTTACCTATTATTTTAATTGCCTTATTATTTTATAAAAATATCAAATTACCTTATTATTTTAGAATACCAAATAAATACGTTCGTAAAATTGATTGAGGTCTAGCTAGCGTAGAAATATATGAACTTGCTGCAGAAGAAGTTACTTTAAGAGGAAAGAGCCTTAAAGAAGCTGCGGCGTCATATAATCTAAATTATTCTTCACTCTATCGATTTATCCAGCAAAAGGCCTTGTTAGAGAATGAGATCCAAGCTCGGCCTACAGTTGGATATTTCTAGAATTTTGTGTTTACTGCCGAAGAAGAAAAACTTCTAAGTCAATACCTACTTACTTGTGCAGCTGCTAATTATGATCTTTCAACGAAAGAAGCTTACCAACTGTCTGAAGAACACAATAAAAAACTTCCTGCTTCATGGAAACTAATCTTGCAGAAAAAGTCTATGGCTATTTCAAGTGCATCCATATCAGATATCACTAGCAGAGAAAAACTATTTTCGCCTGAAGCTATCAAACCACTGCGAATTCAAAATAAAAGAATAATTAAACCATCTGTTCTAACAGATTCTCCCGTCATACAAAAATTAGCCAACATAGAAGCTAAAAGAAACATTTAAAAAGCAAAGAGGCGAGTACAGGATAAAAAGGCAAAAAAGAGACCATTGAAATCTATTCAAAGAAAGGAATATGAAAGTGATGATGATGAGGACTGCTTCTGTCTGTGCTGTTTAGAACCATTTCCAAACATCAGATCTAACGGTGCATTGAGCGCAAATGTTAGTCTCATGAAGATTGTAAAGAGTCACAACTGTTTGTCAGAATAAGTTTACTAATTGGATTTAATTTTTAGTGTCTTAACTGTTCTATAATTATTTAATTTCATAATTTAATTTAATTTGATATACCACAAAAGTACCTTAAATATTTTTGCCAATATTTGATTAAATAAATATTAATTAATGCTCATACTCAACCGTGTCTTTAAAAGCATCGTCCTAAACATAAATAACTATGTTTCAACTTATCTCGATGTTAGGAGGTTGAAACAGTTGCAATCCTTTTAAAATGAATATTTCATGGATTACTTGTTGTGTTTAACTATTTTATATTTAACAGTAAGTAAACAAAGGAGTAAGATTTCTATAGAAAAAAAATTGTAATTGTTAACGATTTATTTAATGAAATTATGATCGATAATGTAAATTGTTTCAACTCGGGTGTCCCTATATTTTTTGTGATAAGTGTGGCTACTAATTTGTAATTTAACTGTTGAAAATTATAAATTGGATTTTGCTGCTTATGTTTTATTTTTGCTTTAATTTTATACTCTTTTTTTTTATCATTGTCACAACTTCTAACATGGAAAAATTGCTAGAAAAAAATCGTAAACGTAATGAAAATCATTAGACTCTAGAAAACGTGACTCATTAATATAATGATTAATACATTGTGGCTCACAGTAATCTATTTTTTAAAACCAACTCAGTATATTAGAATTAGAAAAATTCGAGAGTAACAATATACCATGAAAAAAGAAATTACAAATACAATACAAAAAGAACAAGAAAATAAATAATTGAAGAAGGACTCGCTTATTTTCGAATTCAAATTTCATTGCTTCCTCCGCCACGTGGTCACTAATAGGGTGGTGATGGATTGGAGCTGGACGAAATCGGAATAGACCATCTGCGGAAAATTCTGGAGTTCTCCAGATTTGATCTCGGGTTCCCTAGAGCCTCGATCATCTTGTTCATCTGCAATAGCTAAGATGGCTGCTGACTCAAGCCGGAAGTAAAGTGTATAAAATGTAGGCCTAATATTTTTAACTATTAAAACTGAATAATGTTTTGAGTTCGAAAACGAATTGGAAAAATAAGTTTAAATTTGGGATGAAAGCCTACAAAAGAGTACTGTATTCACTTTGTATATAAGTGCCGAAATACTACGAGGTATTTTTTATTAAAGACCTTACATAGGACCGTAGAAATCTTGCACAGGACCTAGGAGTAGATCAGACCTCGTTTGCTTTCTTTTAACAAATGAAATATGTAGAATGCTTCTTTATTAATAAAGAAATTTTATATCGTATTATAATTGAAAATTATAGGGCTTCCTAAACCTCCTGTTCGTGTGCCGAAAAAGTCGAACAAGAGCCTTTGTCAGCTTTTTATATTATATTTATATTCAAAATTTAATTTAAATTAACAATAAATTACGTCAGATTGTAATCGGTCGTAAGATGAACGGGCCAAAAATTTACATAAGAAATGAAAATGGAATTAATTTTTTCAAATATTATTGGAAACAATTTTCTTTAGAAAAAGCATTACTTGAGTGCCTAAGGCCAGGAAGGCACGCGTAAAATACAGAATTATTACATATAAATTTGAACAGAATATTTTTACGTTTTCAGAAAGCAAGAAGCAAAAAAATATTCTGAAATTGTTACCAAAATAGGACTGAAATGTGAAAAATTAATTGAACAACAAGAGAAATTTTTCACCGTGACATTAATTTTAGTGACGTGGTCGAATCTCGATTGTTCGAAAGTAGTTTATCAGGAACCATAACAATGCTTAAATCCAAATTTTAATTTTAAAATGTTTACATATTTCTCTACATGATTCGACATTAATGTGGTTTATAATGTGGTTTATTACAGGCATTATCATAATTCTTAGATTATCGTGTCATTAAATCGCACGTCGTCTTAGAGACGTTTTACAAGTTCAACAATGTCTATTATAATATTACCTGACGAAATTATTTCCTAAAATTTTCCCGGGTTTTCTTCACGTATCTAATACCTAAATAGGTGGCAGTTTCCCATGTATTGCGTTGCCTTATTCCGCCAATCAATTAAATTCAATATATAGGCTATATATATATATATAATGTAATTATTGAATTATTGCAAAATTTGAAAAAATAATAAAAAGAATTAAAATCTTTATTCATTTTAACGGAAGGTCAGATCGATCCTCAGTAAGATATAAAATTGAATAAAGGAGATTTTACATTATAGCGATTTGTCTTCAAAATTTTATAAAGTTTAGTCCAAAACTGCTTATTGAATGTTTTTATTAAGTATAAAATTATTTTAAAATTATAATTAAAGTTAATACATATATTTAATTTCATTTTACGATATAAAAAATAAACTTTGTAAATGGATTCTTTGTAGCTTCGTAGCTGCAAGCGATTGAATCTTCTTCGAGATATAAATCTGTGGCGATGGCATACTTTATTGATAATGTTACCGATCCATTTAATCTATCTTGCTTCATTGATTTTTTTCTTTCTTTTTCTTTTGAACGTTCCACCTTTCGTTGATCATCGATATTGGCAATGTTACAAAATTTTCATTTTTAAAAAAGATTTGGCACACGACACAGTTATATTATTTGAATATAGAAAATTCCAATCTTTTTATTGAAAAACTTTAAAAAATCACTTTGAAAATGTTTTATTTCATCGTGTAATTCGATATCAGAGATATTTTTCCAAATGCAATCAGCAAAAAAACATTATTAAATCGAAGAAAATTGTATTTGATTCGTGGCTACATTTTTTAAAAATTTTTTGTCTTGTGAGCACCAGGAGAACTTTTTCCATATCTATCGTGGGTTCGACCAGTCTCTCATTGAAAACAAAGCCCTGACAGTCCATGAAAATTTCCCGTGGAGTTGTTTGCCCGGATTCGATTCTGGATTTCCAGGGCTATAATCTGCCTCCTTAACCGTCTCGTCCATCCGGCAATCAAATTCATCGCTACTGAGACAGATCACCATTCTTTAATACGGTAATCAGTTCAAACTAGAGTAAACGGTACAGTTATTGGCCATTTCGAATTTAAACTTCTTTCAAAAGAGTTTTACAAAAGGTGTTTTTGAAATATTGCGTGGCAGTATTAATACAAGTTTCTGCTGTTAACAGGTAATAAAAAATTCAACATATTTTTATGCCGTTGCGTATGGCGAATAATTAAACAATTTGCATTTTTGTAAAAAAAAAAAAAAAAACAAGGCGCATTTTAGATTGCATTATAATTTTTGTATATGTGGGGTGGGCGATCTGCCGAAGAGAAATGCCTCCAGGGAGGTTTTCTATGGGTAACTGGATCCTACTTAGGTGTTATAAACGTGAAGAAACCCGAAAAACTCCTCGTGGCCAGCCCGTTGGCCAGGCGCGAACCCACGACCAACTACTGTACTAGTTTTCAGCGGTTTTATCCACTCGGTCTCTGGTGGACCGCATTTTGGATTAGACATTCTATATATTGGCAGTAGAAAAGCTATAAAAAATCGAATTCATCAGTAGTATAATATATCCCGATCTAATATTTCTCGTTATGTCATAGAATTATTTTAAAAATTTCCTTAAATGGTCAATAACTGTACCATTTACCCTAACTTAATTGCATTATGTAAAGTAGATTGATCAAAATGCTATAGAGAGGGAAAAAACGCAAAATTTTATATATTAAAAAATGAAAATGTATACTTAATGATGACAAAGCATACAGATATTTTCTTTCTCTTTTCATAAAGAAAGAAAGGGGGAAAAAACTTCAGAAATGGGCGATGTCGATCTTTCCTTAGGCGTAACTCATTTTTATATTTAAAAAGGTTAGACTTTTGTATTTTTAAAATTAAATTTAATTAAATCAGTAAAGAAATAATATATATGTTATATTTTAAGAATAATTGGATCTCGAAATGAAATTTTTTTCCTTAACAAAATATAATTATATCGCCTAAATTTAGAATTTTAATATGTCAAATTTCTTTTCAGCTATACTAAAATATTGATTATTAAAATATTTTTTATATAAATTAATATTTCATATTTTATTCAAAACAAAACGTCGAATCTACATGGAGATAATTCATTTTTTTAAACAATTTATTCTTTCAAGTAATGAAGACAAAAGAAAATATTTATATTTATTGGAAATGTTGTATAGCTTTGACTATTTCATTCTTGATTTATGAAAATATCAAAATTTATAATTTTCTTCTATATCTTAAGACTTAATTTTCAACAATGAAAAGTGCCAAGCAGTTGCTGAGTGAATAATGCCACTGAATAGTGGTAATCAATGGTATTATCCACCAGTGTTAAGGTCGCAGATTTGTCCTGGATATCAGGCTGTCTGCGTGGAGTTTTCTGGGTTTCCTTCGTGTCTAACATCTAAATAGGGACCATTTTCCCGTTAAAAGTCCTCCCGATGCACCCATCCCCTTGGTAGATCGCCCACGTGTTGTTTATCCCGTCAATCCAAAATATATATTATAATATAATAAGTTATATAATTAATTTTTCCATTTTTATTACACATTTTTAACACTTAAAACTAATGAATTACTATAACAATCACACTATATAAAACTGAAAAACTGGATTCTTTCTTTCTTTCTTTCTGTCACTGTATGCAAAAAATAGCCACTAGGCGCCCCTAGCAATTATTTAAATTAATTTAAATTATTTTATATTTATTTTATATTTTTACAGTTTAATATTGTGAAGACCCAACCGAGGTCCGAATCATGTAAATCGCGATATTCCTATGATTAAATAATAACGATAGATTAATTATGAGAGGGAGAGGAAAATCCCATAATTTAAACAACGCGGCACAAAATGTAGACAACGAGTCTCGGATTACTCGAACACGTGTTAAACTAACTGTCAATGTCAGAATGAAAAGTTATAAGTCAGAGACAAGTGGCATGTGCAGGTAGAACTTTGACCCCCGCGCTCATAAACAGTCAATCTAGGGAAACAATTTCTGAAAAGACGGAAAGATTTAAGAGAGATAAATCATTGCATATGATCGTTCGAGTACCCAGATGACAGAAATCGCGAGTAACGGAGCTAAATTATGAGCGCGAGTCTTGCAATATTGTCAACAATCGACAGAACGGCGTCGAGCAGACACCTGGAATCGGACCTTTCTCGTGACCTGAGGCGGTCTCAGTTTATCCCAAAACAAAAGAGAGACCAATCGGGAAGCGAGAAAGGGGATGAAGGGCCAATCGGAAGTCCGAATAGTGGAAGAGAAAAACTATAAAAATCCGAAATCCGAGGTCAGGGGGGCTCTCCTCCGACTCCACGAAAGGTAGTGACTTCTATTGTGGTGTGTCGTCGCAAAGGAACTGTGGACTCCGCCGCTTATATCTTCCGATCGTCCGCCGTGATCAGCAACAGCATCTCGTCCGCCCCGGGGCTACGACCGACGCCGAAGTTCTCACACTCCGCATCTTCGAGGGAAGAATCTAGTGAAGGACTGTCGATTGCCGATGTAAGCATATATGTTAACAAATAAACGGCTTTCTTGTGTAAAACACTTGTCGTCATTTGCCTCCTCCGTCACCGCCCACATACAACCTTCCCTTAGGTCCATCCTGACGCGGGATTAATAGATCCCACCTAAGAGACGGCATCCTTACACAGGTGCCGTGAAGTGGGTTTCAAGCACCTTATCTCCCCCGGATCGGCCATCTTACAATATTCAGTATATTATTATTTTTATTTGTAATTTAGTATGCCTCGATGCAGGCATCGAGGCATACTAAATTCGACTGGTTTAATATAAAAAGCTCAGATAAAAAGCAATAAAGCGTCACGAATAAATCTGTAATTCGATAACTATAATATAATACACTACGGTTAGACTACACTATAATATTCGAAGATAAATCAATTTCATTTTCACTTTGTCGCAAATATTTGAATTGAGATTTGTGACGATACATCAATACAATGGATTGCGAGACTGATTCCAATTTTACATTTGTTCGTTATTAGTATTCGAGTCATTAAAAGCGAACTACTCACTTGTATTGCCGTCATATAAGGCTAATATCATAGCTGTCACCGATAGAATAATAAATAATTGTTTGCTCGCAGACTTGTTACACAAATTTATGAATTGTTATTAATGTGATTTTTAACATTTATTTACTATTAAAGTTGTTTTACAAAGGAAAAACTATGGGAAATTTTTTCATTAAAATAAAAATTAAATGGAATGCAAATCTAAAAAAAAAGGGACAGTAAATCTAAATCTACTGCATTTACTCTTGAGATATTGCTTTCAGTAAATGGCAATGAGACTGTAATAAAAAATATAGTTTTGAAGGTACAGTTCAGGACATATTATACAGGTGTAGACAAAAACATTTCATATATTGCTTTCGCTACGTATAGGGTATATGTAACAAAAAAGGGACAGTAAATCTAAATCTACTGCATTTACTCTTGAGATATTGCTCTTGATTTAATTCAATTTATATGTCATAAAAAATATAGTTTTGAATGTACAGTTCAGGACATATTATACAGGTGTAGACAAAAACATTTCATATATTGCTTTCGCTACGTATAGGGTATATGTAACAGAAGCAATATATAGCCTAGTGGGTTATTCGATAGCATAATCACTATGCACCCCTATTTCACTTTTCGTAGGGCTAAATCCTATCTCGATTTTAAATTACCAAGTTTAAGGGCTTCTCAAAATTAGCACAAAACATTTTGTGTCCGGTTAAAATACTCAAAGGGAAAACAGCTAGAATACGGTCAAAAGTGGTGGGAAACACTGTGGAGACTTGAGGCTTGAGGCTTCTCTGCATGGGTCTAACAGTAGCCGAGTGGATAAAACCACTGATCATTAGTAGTAGTTGGTCGTGTTTCGTGCCGACCAACGTATTGACCACATGGAGTTTTCTGGAATTTTTTACGTCTCTAACACCTAAATAGGGCCAGTTTTCCGTAAAAAAAATCCTTCCGGAAGGCATCCCCTTGATAGATCGTCCATGTGTTGTGTTGCCCTATCTCATTAAACCAACCAACTGTGTAAAGGAAGCAGAGTCTGAGGGCATGATTTAGTTTGTTTAAAGAGAAGTGTTTCCCATTAAAAATGCTATGTAACCCTTCAGAAGAATACACTGTTTGCAGTTAGCTGTCTTGAGTGCGCGATGCCATACAGAGAAGCCCAACGCAGCTTCTCCCCACTCTTTTTGACAGTGTCCAGCCGTTTGTGATCACATCAGTGCAGTGGCGTGCCGTGACATTTGACGATAGGGAAGTTGTGTTTTTGTAAAAAGCCGACATCCAGGGGCAATCAGTCAATTGCGCCTCAGTGATGGTCTAGGGTCCATTCGTATCGTTTATTCAATAAGCCAGTAAAAACCGTAGACTTCTCTAAATGCATTTTTAATATCACAATTACATTCCGAATCGCTAGCCACGATATAAGGGCTACAATTAAAAATAAAATAATAAAAACTTACTTGGTGAAATAAAATGTGTGGTGGATGTACCGGTACATACCTGGTACAAAATATTCTTCAATTGTATGAATATACTTTTAAAGAAAATTATAATTAAATATAGCTTTGTAAAGAAACGTACATAAAAATATAAAATATTCTTTACTTTTTAAATCTTAAAACAATGCACTTAGTCAAATAGCTCCCTACGAGTGGCTAATGGATGGAATCGAAGACGGTTGCAGAGCGTGCATACACGCGGACTGCCAAATCCCCAGGGTGCCGATACCGGTCAATGTCAAATACCTCTTTTGTCGCATCACTAGTATATCTCAAAGGACGCGATAGGGCTGTTGTAGATTTTAAACGTTTCTCACCAAAGCTGTAAAAATCTAAATATGTTAAACTTAATAGTCATTTGTTTTCTAATTAATTCTTTTTAGGACCAAGTGTCCTCAGAAATTTCCAAAATTCACAACTTTTCGGTCACTCTCTGGAAAAATGTGACTTTATTATATTAATAATACGAAGAAATCAGTCTCCACTGTACTCGGCTAGAGATGGTTCGGTTAAGCTTTCGTTTAAGTAAAATTTCGGCTCTTTCATCAAGGTTTTGTTTGTCCCCAATTCCCTAATCGCTTAATTATTTAACTACTTCTTAAGTAGAAATAAGTCGAAACCGGTTACTTTGTACTCGAATATTTGTAGTCTTGGGAAAAAAGAGGAAAGACAAATTTTTATGACAAACGGATACATAAATCGTAAATTTAAGGAAAATAAATTCTAGAGCTTTTTCTGTACCTCATGCATCTCTCTCATTCATTGAATTTAGCTGTAAATTATGCTATCAAAGTAACAGTTAATTTTTTAACATTGTACAAGAATTGTATACGTTTTTTCTACATCCCCTTAAAGATGGGATATACGAAATCGTAATATCACCGGTTTAACATTGAAATCCGTGAGTAATATAAAATCGGAGAGCGGAATAAAAATATCAAATATTTTAATGGATTTTTTTAACTATCATAAAAACATACCAGTAAATTCTTATCGGTTGAGTTAAGTAATAAATGTACAGTAATACCCCGAACTTACGCGATAGGTGGGACCGAGCGGTAACCGCGTAAGTCGGGGTATAATTTCTCATATAAATACATACAAATAATTTTTAATTGGGGCCGGAGACTAAAGAAAACAATAATTTAGAAAAAAATGTTTAATAAAATCTTAGATAATACATATGTATAACAAATTAGGCCTATATTATTTTACAATTTTTCACATTTACTTGATTATTATGCCATAATTTTAACATTGTTTCCATCTCAGCGATAATACTGTGACGTTTACGAATGATGCTTGAATTTAAAGATTGAGCATTTTTCACAGCTTCGAAAATTTTTTTTTTTTTTTTGCCTTTTATAGTTGTTCTGACCGTCGATTCCGGTAGATCAAACTTCTTTGCCAATTCACAAATTTTCATTTCTGTATCGAAGTCTTTAATAATGGGTACGTTCGTAAAGTCAAAGGAGTTAAACGCGTTAGTAACGAATCGTTCGAAAAGTCTAACGAAATAGGAATAACGATGACGTAATTCTCGTTTAACTCGTTCGACTTTATGAACATACCCAATGTTAACTTTACATTCCAAAGATAAAGTTTTCCTTTTCTTGTTTGATGCAGAAGAATTAGTTCTACTTCGTTTGGATGACATAGTAGTCTCTCAATGCTCCGTAGATATAACAAACACAGAAATAAATAACACAAAATAAATTGTAGCTATGTGTGGATTCCGCGTGACACATCCGAACATGTAAGCTGAACAATAGTGTGGGAGGGAGTGAGTAATCAAGAGTTGCGTGACACTCAAACAAAAGACGAATCGACGAGATTTGAAACTCGCGTAACTCCGGGTTCGCATAAGTCGGGGTAGCGTAAGTCGGGGTATTACTGTACTCGTGATTCACATAATCGGGCGAGGGCGGCAAATATCTAGCGGGCAGGCGGCTAACAGCCCAGAACCGGTCCTGGATAGAATTGGATGCGGTATACGTGTAGCATCCACCCAAGGTCTTAGGCTTCCACCGGTAAACCGGGTGAGGTTGGTGCTCTGTAAAGCGCATGCGCGAATCTGGCTTTTTGGGATGCTGACGATACAGCACTTCCACTCCGCCACTAATATTCGAATATACAATAGCAATCTTATCTTTTTTTTTCACGTGTAGTATAGAAATTTGTAATAAAATACATAATGCGGTTATAATAAAATATTGTGCGATTATTTTCATATAATTAAAATTAATATGTATTTATTTTTTAGAAAATACAAGGGAAGCGGCGCATCCATCGCTTCCAATGATGGCACGCCACTGATCACATCCAAACTGAAACTTATGGAAAATATTGATATCGATAGCTTCAATGCTTTACGAATCCTTCAATTTACGTACAGTTATGGGATGGTCTCATACACTTTCCCTTTTAAATAAAAGGGAAAGTGTATGAGACCATCCTATAACTGTACGTAAAAAATCCGCTACAAAATTTACACCATTAATGTTTTATCATCTGAGTCGGGCCGATTTTAATTGGAACACGCTAGTTTTAAAATACGAGATAAAGATAAAAACTAAATTCTTTATTTTAATTAAAATGTACGAAATTGTAAATCAGATTGCTTTCTTTTCAGTATTATTCTGAAAGTAACTATTCATTTATACTTTTAATACGATAATTTTTTACTGGTTTAAAATATTAAAAAAAAATGACAGAGAAATCACCAACGTACGTTTTGATATCGAAACGTAGCGACGATGATCATTTTTATTTACTTTAATTTCGGTTAGAAGGGAAATTTAAAAATAGATTATTAACACCGAATTTCGGTTTACGTTTCAATTCGATGCCTGATTTTGCAGTGAAAGCAGTCCTAATGGACGGAAGATAAAAACGGTCTTCATCAAATACGACAAAGAATTCTTCACGATGACACCTCCTTTTATCGCTCAGTCATTCGATAGATAATTTAAAATGTCATCATGGTATTTATGATTCTATACTATCCAATAAAGCAATTACTTTTATTGACTTTAAGACTATATATGAAAAATTAAAGTAATTAAATATTAGTGTAACGGTACAACTTAGCGCGGAAGTATTGTAATTATGTTTACGCGAGTAAATCGGTAAAATAATATGCAGTGGAAGTATTTGTAAAAATAGGTATAAAATTAAATATTTGTAGGTATTCTGTCGGGTAATTAAATGCGTTATTTATTAGTGTTTGTCGTTAGTTTCAGTGTGAGTCGTGCAAATTAACGTTGTTTTATTTGGCCAATATTATCTGACCGAAGAGACTGTAATGAATCAGCCGAAATGCATTTAAGAATGGCCAAAAATGTAGATGTTTGTAGTAATGTATAATTAGTAGAATAATAAAGGAGATAGAAATGAGTCACAATTTGTGATAAGCCCTTAAATAAATACTGAGAAATAGTAAACAGTTAAATAATGCAACAATAAGTGGGCTAGATGTTGTTTAAGAATAACAATATTGAGTCGAGTCGAATTATAATTATCGAGAAATATATTAGAAGCCTTAAACGTTTTTATAAAGGAAACGTCGCATTTAATCATATATAAAGGCAAAGTTTTCCTTTATCAAATTATTTATTTGATAAAGGAAAACTTCGCCTTCGTAAAAAGTAAACATTATATATTTATAAAAGAAATGAATATAATCTAATGAATCTAATTACATTTGTCTTCTATATTTTATATTTATACAATTAGTAGAAATAGATCAATTTTAATAATAGCCAATTTAATATCATTACCTTTTGATTTAAACTACTACTAAACGATTAAAATTTAATTCAGTACCTTATACAAAATACCTTACAGTCAGATTCCAGAGGTTAATGTAACGTTTACAAATATTAATCGATTAATTCGTCAAAGAAAAATTCCGTTATTGTGTTTATATTTGTTTAAAAATTCCAAACAAGTATCAAATGTGCTTACTTTTAAAATATTTGTTTTAAAATCAGCATGACGCATCGAAATTCCGCATATTTTCTAACAATTGTATATAGATTTATAAAATTGAATGAAATTTTAAGTTGTATAATTATTTTTTCTATTCTGATTAACGTGAAAGTTCTTTTATAGCTCAAATTTTCCATTGTTAATTAATTTTCTTATTATATAAATTAATAATAATAATAATAATAATATATATATATATATATTATTAATTTTTCCTATCATATTTCACGATTCAGCAATATGCTTTATGGATTGCTGAATGTCGAAATTTAATAGGAAATATTATAACAGAAGCAAATTTCACGATTCAGCAGAATAACCAAATTACTAAATCTCAACGTATATTCTCTAAAGGAAGATTTAAAATCGATCATCGTCATACAAGATAACTATCAATCACCGTAAAGAGCAATCAATCAAGATTAAAAACTCTCCTCGTCCTAACGAGACGTTCTACTCTATAATATACTGCTGAATAGAATAGCAAATTGCATGTAAAAATCTCCATATTTAACGTATAAAAATATATAGAAACAATCATCTCTAGTTCCTAACGTGGTATAAAAATCTTAAGTAATCAAAAGAAAATATTAAGATCGTGGGATAATAAATAAAATACCGTATGAAAATTTACTGCTGCAACATAAAATGGCATGTTATATAACGGAATTGATGACGAGAGGATAGCATTTATGAGATGAATATAGAGTAAATAAAAGCAGATACTTACCCACATGTTAATATCAGGAGTGAAGGGTCCGACCTCTCTAGTCGTTTTCCATCGTCGCAATAGGCGTTTGCAATCGATTCATCCGCGAAGCGTCGTGACGTTGTCACTACCTGTTGACACTAAAGATGCAATGACACACTCTCCTCTTCTTCTCCAATGAATCTTCCAATGAATGTAATCATTCGCCGCTATTAACCATTTTCTATCCTTTAATTTAAACGTCTTTAGTTATTCGTTAATTAATTAATAGCGCATTATTTTTTACGCTTTCTATTCGTGTTTCTGATTTAAGAAATACGTTAAACGTGATTTTTTTAACCAATCGCTGTTTGGATTTTACGTAAATTTCGCGTAATTAAAAACCAAAATGTAAAGTAGAGGAGTCCATTACGGTCCACCAAATTTGGACAGTTATTTTGATCAATTCTTGAGGGAAAACCCCAAGAAATTCGGTACTGGTGGTTCACAATGGGCCCCCTTACCTTACTTGTTTTATTGCGTAAACACCTTGCAAACAAGGCAAATTATTGATTCAGTAAATAAGAGACATTGAAGAGACATTTACTGAATCAACATTACAAACAGTTAAACTATCGGAAAATTCAAGGCAAATTATGTTTTATTCATACGATCAGATTTTTGTTATAAATAACGAATAAAATAAAGTAAAAAAAAGGTATAAACTATCTTATTTTCATGTAAAAATAGTATAAAATGATTATTTTAGTGAGTGATTAAATATTTCATGGTAAAATAAGAATTGGCAAGTTTTAAATTATGTTTTAGAGACATTAAGACAAGAACAGATTGGAATTTAATATTTTATCGACTAATGTCTTGCATTAAATTTTTATCAATAATAAATTAGCGTTTTATTATTTAGAAATTATAATCTATAATTCAAGAATTTAAAAAATCGATATAATTAATTTTTCACAAAAAGTCTTCAGAGCAATTTAAAAGAAAAAGCACAGAAATGCCTTCTTTTAACCAAGATATTAATTAATAATTTAGTTTTTTTTTTTAAATTTAAATTGAGATATTAGCGAAAAATGGCATCATATATAAACTGTATACTTTGATTAAAAATCGATTTATCGATCAAGACATTGCTAATTGATTAACCACATTCGAGTTATTCTACGCATTCAGGTATTAACGAGTATTTAAGCCGATTTAAAATTCTTATTTTTTGTAAAATTAGACGATTTACGACCGATGCCAATAAGCATTTTTATTTGGATCAACACATTTTAATAAACTTAAAACCTTAATAAAAAATTAATATCGAATTTGAGAGATTATCAGCGTGGTCTTAAATGATGATCAATTTAAAATTGAGGATGATCAAATCATCGATATCGATCAATGATATTATAATTATCGATTAAAGTTTCTCTTTTGTAAGCTTAAATATATTTTTATTATATAAGATAGAAATTTCTCGTCACCGGGTTATTGATTTTTGACCGATGTGATTGCCGAAGAGATCGATCAATCTTGTAACTTTATAAAAGTATTAATAAAGTAAAAAGTCTAAATATTTAATGGATTGAATGTAATCTTGACTAAAATTTAAGATTTTTTTTTATTGTATCTTCATTTGAAATCAAAATATCGATTTAATTTACTTCTTGAAATTTTTGTACTAGTAAGTTATTATTAATTATTATATAATGACAAAATCTTAATTTTGAGGGTAGAGATGAGTTTTATATATTTAAAAAAAATTGTAAATGCTAATAACGAGTAAAATCGTCATTAAACATTAAATCCGACCCTACTCTAGATGTGACAAGACCCTCCTCTATCTCATCATCCCGTCGACCTTTAACTACCGAAATTAAATAGCATCAATTCCCCTAATACACAAACCTCCCTGCAAAATTTCAGAAATTTTTGACAAAAAAAACAGAGTGGTTATTAAGCTTTAAAATATATGAGCAAAATTGTGCCCCCCACACACTAACATCCATACATACAGGAAAATAACCGAATTTTTTGCATTTCTCGACGTTTCAAGGTGTCCTGAGTCCAAAAATGTAAAAATCTTGGGGTCATTTTTTGATTAATCGCTATACTTTCCTTCTGTTATGTATAACAGAGCCGTGAAAGTAAAAATTGAAATTAAATCATTATAAATTTGCAGAAAACTTGCAAAAATTTTATATTAATTTCTATATTTTTCTGTTCATTTATCTGGTTTCAAAAATATATTAAACGTGAATTAATATTCTATTGCTTTTAGCCGTTAATGCTGTTTTTATTTTTCTTAGTCTATATCAATTAGACAAACATACTTGAGTCTATATCAATTAGACAAACATACCGGTGTTATCACACAGGTATATTTGTTTAATTGATATAGACTAAGAAAAATATGAAAAAATAAAATATTAAACGTGATTTTACCAACTGCCATTATAGGCCTGGCAGAATCCACTATGGAAAATGGCACTCTTAGTGCCCGTAGAAGAGTAAAATATATCTCACAGATGAATAAACTGGGTGTAAGAAAACTCCGTGCCAATTTTTAGGGATAGAGTCTGGGGTCAAAAATATGCTTAAATTCCTCTGTAAACGTTATTCAAAGATCAGCTTCGTCTTGGTGATTTGGCATGCAAAAAACACTTTTTAAATTCTCTTCCAAAGTACTAACACTGGAGTTTCTAACTTTTAAAATTAATTTTGTTTTTTATTTTATGCTTTTGTCAACGGATTGAAGTAAGTAAATTTTTTTTAGTGGATCTTACTATAATAAATGTAAGATTTTTCAGTATTCATCCACATTACAGTAAAAGTTGGAAAGCAAATATTTTTCAATGTAAATTTACTTTGATGATAATCCATTTTTTTCCAAAATTAAAACAGAGAAACAAGAACTTCTCAAATGTCTTTTGAGGATGCGGATGCATAATTTCATACGGCGAACCAGCGACAATTTTCATCTTTAAAATAGAAAGCTTCGTTTTATACATAATGATAACACACAAGTAGAAAACAAACAGCATTATCCTTTTGGCGGAATGTTTTAAAATTGATGTGAGTTTTTGCAAGCCAAATCTGGAAAACGAAGTGGATTTAAAAGAAAAAAGTTTATAGAAGATTTTAAGCTTAATTTGACCCTAGAATCTGCCCCTAAAATATACCCTGTATCATCTGTGAGACAAATTTTCAAGAGAGTTTGTAAAATAACATTTTTGAAAATCATTCCGATTGATTAGAAATATTATAATTTATGACGAAGAATAAGTTATTAAATTTATGATTTTCCGATTAAGACATTATTTAGCTTGTAACGATCAACTGTATATGTGTATTTTCAGTTTAATTCCGAATGAAAAAGTAATCATGCAGTGGTGAGAGAATGACATCCCAAAGTTGCTGTATATCTTCCACCAATCTCAGATGTTTGGCTTTGACGTCGGTGGTGTTCTCCCTGGTTTGCATTTTTATGTTATCCCTCTATTACTTAATTCTTAGAGACGAAGGTGCCATTCTGGAGCGGGAAGCTGGACTTTTTTCTCAACCGCAATCGTGGCATCCCATTTGCTCTCTTCCGGAGGGAGAAAGATTCGATTGTTATCCGGAAGACGGAGAGGTTCTAGAGGAAATGTGCTCGGCTAGAGGATGTTGCTGGGACAATTCGACAAAAACACCCATCAAATGTTTTTATTCTAAAAATCATGGATACAGAATGATCGAGCAGAAGAGCTTTCAGCAGGGTATTGAAATCCTTCTGACGCGTTTGCCTTCACCTTCTAGATATGGAGAAGATATTCATCACGTTAAGGTTAGAGTGGAAATGCAGACTTCTACTCGTTTAAGAGTTAAGGTACTTGTTTTATAATGTTATTTTTATAATAAATTTCAAAATGTTAAGTTTAATTTTGTTTTCTTTTGTTAAAAAAAAAGTTATGCTACTTATTATAAGGGTAGATCAATAAATAACCTAGTTATGCCCCGGCTAGTTATTTATTGACACACACTTATAGTTATTAAATACAGCATTTGAAATAAATGAAATCGAGTTTAATACATCCGGTTAAATTTAATGAATCGCTGCTTTAATCGATTTGATGCCCAACTAAGCAACAGTGAATGGATTTTTTTTCTTTGTCTTTCTCGTTTATATCAATTCATGTGTAAGAAATATTAAATATTCGATTCGCTAATTTAAATCAATTATTGCCATGTCAATTAAAACAAAAAACCTTTGATCATAAGTTATTTATTTATCAATTATTAATATTTTAAATTTATTTTAAAAAGTGATAATTACGGATAAAACGAACAGAATTTTGAAGTATTTTTGGATTACTTGGAGACAGATTAATGCTTAAACTCATTTTTATATACATCGCATTTAATTTACAGATAAAAATAATTTTTTTGCAGTTTTTTGACTCGGAAAATGAAAGATACGAGGTTCCAACACCTAAAATACCAGTAGAGCCTTCATTTAATCCTATTAAGGAAAAGAATCCTTTATACGGGATCTCTTACGATTCTTCTGATGGTCCTTTTTCCCTCGAGGTACATAGAGCGGGTACAGATAACACCATGTAAGTGTAAATATCTAGTTATTATTTTTTAAACGATTTTATTTACAATCAAAATTTGTTTCTGCTTTTAGTTTTCGGATGTCTGGTCACGGTTTTGTCTTCTCGGATCAATTCCTACAAATCACATTGAAGCTACCTTCGGAGAACCTGTACGGATTAGGAGAGCACTTCCATTCGCATTATAAACACGATATGAAATGGAAAAATTGGACTCTATTTTCCAGCTACAATCAGGATCAAGTAATGCCAACTTTTCGAGCTTCGATATATATTTTAATTTCATTTTAAGTACTGCGTATATTAATTATTAGATTTACAACATGGCGAGCGTGAATCCTAGCTACATGTGTGTAGAACAGGACGGAAAAGCGCACGGTGTTTTACTGTTTAACAGTAATGCATTAGGTGAGTGACCTTCACAAATACTTTTTTTTAAATTAATTATATTTAATAGTCACAAAATTAATATTTAGAAGTGTCAGTATTGCCGACGCCGGCTGTGACCTTTCGTGCTATTGGAGGCGTTTTAGATTTTTATTTCTTTCTGGGACCTACTCCGGAGGAAGTCGTACAACAATACACACAAGTAATTTTGTTTTGATTATTTACATGTTTTAAAGAACAAGCTCAATAAAGTTTTACGTAGCTTCATTTAGGCTTTAGGTAGACCCACGATGCCACCCTATTGGGCACTTGGCTTCCACTTAGGATTTCAACAAAATGGCCAGATATTGAAAAAATTACACAGAATGAGGTCGAAGGATGTTTCGCACGTATGTTTTGAATGCTAAAATGCTAATAATTCGAAAGAATTTTTGAAATTTTATTTGACTTTTTGCTTTTTTCTTTCTTCTGAAGGATGTTTTACATCTGGAAGCGAACCATATTGACGATCTATCATTAATTATGGATCAGATTCAGAAGCTTGGTTTAAAATTACTTGTAGTAGTTTCACCGGAAATATACACAGAACTACAGCAACAGAAATATTTTTATCGTAATGGACTAGAAAAAGGAATATTCATTAACGATACTTGGGGATATCCATTTATAGCTAAGGTATCACAATTAATAAACATTTAATAACAATTTGTTGATTTTAGTCAATCAGTTTATAATTTCAGGGAAGATATGGCAACGTTGTCTTTCCAGATTTTGGTAAATCAGCCACAGAATATTGGTGGCAAGATAGAATTCGTAAGCTTTCCGTCATCCCATTTGATGGAATTTGGTTGGTCAGTATATAATTTTATATAATGTTATCAATTAAATACTAATCGAAGGATCAACTTCTTTTGTAGGAAAATAATATTCCAGTTAATTTAGCGAATGATTCCGAAGAGCATTGCTATCCAGATTCACTGAATGAACCTCCATATTTACCAAGTAAGCTAATGAGGTGTCAGTTAGCTTTCTAAGCTCTAAGTAAACAATAATAAATCCTTTTCGATCGTAGAAATCGACAGAAAACATCTATACGAAGGTACCTTATGCATGGATTCTGTGCAACATTGGAAACAAACAATGCATTACCATTATTATATGCATAATTTATATGGTCATCTCAGCATAATTTCTACTTACAAGCAAGTTATTTTATTACATGTAAACGTTTCTGAGCTTACTGCTACATAAATTTATCTCCGGAATTATTTTCCAGTGCTTTGAAAGCCCTATCTAAAAACAAGAGGAATCTGATAATCAGTCAGTCTACTTTCGCCGGTTCCGGAAAATATTCGGGACATCAGATAAAACATCCATTTAATCAATGGGAGGACATGAAGAACATCATTCCTCTTATTTTACAATTCAGTTTGTTCGGAATACCTTATGTAAAGTATCTTTTAGTGATGATAAAAAGCTATTTTATAACTAAAATTTAAATAATAATCGAATTTTAGGTAGGTTTCCCTTTGTGTTCTTGCGATAGAAATTACGAAGAAGAGTTGTGCATTAGGAACATTCAGCTAGGAGCTTTCTACCCGTTAATATTTAGTCATGTTTCTGACGACGATCAAGTAAGCATATACCATTTCAGATTATTATAAGTTCAATATTTTAAATGTATATATAAAGAGTTTATCTTAAATAGGCTATAGCTTGACTCGATAAATAAAAGCTTATCAACTATATGACTGTATTGTTTTATTCGATATGCGAATAAAGTAATTCACATACCAAAAAATAGATCGTTCTGCAGTCTTAAACTAGTCTATTTCTGTTGGTCTGTCTCGTTTGTCTGACTTGATATCCGTCGAGCCATCTTCTGCTTCAAGAATTCCGATCGAATTGCGTTATGCCTTATACAAATATGGTAAAAACTATGTTACGATAATGGATAAATCGATGAAAAAAGAGAGAGACGTTATTTTTTTAAGTATTGAACAATATTTGACGACTTTATGGTATTACAAGGGATTATTTTTATTTACTATCACATAATAAAATTAAACAATCTAGTTAAATGTGGTACGAACGTATTCAAATATCGTTAATTAGTTTTTATATTAATTAATTTTAATAATTGCATCAATTTTTTTTGTATATAATAGCTAAACTGAGAAAATGTCGAACGATTCTTAATTATTCAAGATATTTTCGAATCAATAAGGAAATTATTGCATTTTCTAAGATGGAAAATATCGACATTTCGCTCGATCTTTACTGAAAATCGAATTATTCGATCAGACTTCGTTGACTGAAAGTATCAAAGTTTTTATTTATTTTTTCTATTTTTACATATTCTCGTATTCAAAAATACAGGGTTATTTGATTTATCTGATAGATTTCGCTATCGATCATTCTAAAAATTAACTGAAGTTTACCAGAATTTTTAAGTTTAATTAATTTAGATCATTAGTACGTAATTTACGAATTTGGATTTATTATATCCTTATTCCGCTATTATGAAAATAACAGAATAAGGATAAGCAAATATGCTTGCGATTTTCCACATTTTTATCGTAAAATTCTAAATTCGTGGGCGTTCTTTCTTAGTTTATTCTAAAACGTTGAATATAGGACTTTGTTAAAATATTTTGTGTTTGATTTTTAAAATAAACCATTCTATATAAAAGGCGAGCGTTAGAAGAGAATTATAGATTTCATTATTCGTGAATGAATGAATGTTTTTTTATTGAATTATCTAAAAATCTATATCTGATGTCGGCAGAGAATCCATTTCGGTGATGAAAAAGCTTAATGTTATGAAATTAAACATGCAAATTGTCTGATACACTGGGGGAAAACAGAAAATCAAAAGTTGAATATCTTAAAATAGTATTAAGACTTCTGAAATTTCAATAAATATACTAAATTTAGAACTTTAGAAATAGAAAAAAAACTAATGAAGGTCCTGAGAAATCAAATTTATTAAGCATTTCAAATCTTGCAGAAAAGTCAAGTTTATCAAATAATATATCATTACTGTTATACAAATACCAATAAGGAATTTGTATAAAAAGATGCTTTGGTTAAGAAATGTGCATAAAATACATTTTTTAATTTATCTTGATTCACTTTTCTTATTTAATTTTAGATATATCTAAATAAAAACATAATTTTAATTGTATACTGTATTCAGTTTAACAATTTTCTGGTTTATAAACTGGTCTTTCTATTAGTTTTGGTTAGGCCTTCATCAGTTATTCAATTGATCACTTTGAATTTTAATGTTAGGGTAGGTACTTATTTATAATATATAATAATAATATAATTAAACTCCAGATTATTGTAATACTAATTCTCCAATCTGACTTATAATAAACTCAGACTAAAGAATTTGTAAAATATTAATGATAAATTCTAATTTCTCAGGTGTTAACATGATATAAACTCACTCTCTGAATAGTTTTGTATAATGATTTTATTATTTTTTATGCATTTCATTCACAATATTATTTTAAATTATACAGTAGACCTGTAGGTTACTTATAACAGAATTTATTGATTTATAATGTTACTAATTTTGGATTTATAAAGAATTATATTTTATTGTTTTTCTAGAAATTATTCTTGGCATATATGCATATATATACTGTATAAGTTACTTACTATATACTGTAGTAAATTATGAAGCAAACTTGTATTTATTTTTTAATTTTAAGAGGAAAGTGAATAGTGTAACAGATGTTATAAAAATGAAATGTCTGGTAAATGTAGAACAGCTTTAAAAATGTTATCATTAAAAAACAATAAACTTAAAGGTTAAATAAATATATATATATATATACTTATAAATATAACATTTTTTATAACATTACCATAGGAACACAAATTAAATATTAGTAGGAAAGAGATTAGAAATTGTTATTCGATTTTAACTAATTATTTGAACAAACAATTCCTCGAGTGACTCAAACTTTAAAGGGTACTTGAACGGAATATAATAATAGAAAACTGAAATACTTATTATGATATTAATTGATATACTGTTTGTTAGAAAAAGTAAGGCAGGCAGTAAACTTTATTTTCGTGGTTTGATTACGGAAGTAGAGCAAAATCTCTGTGTTGTTGCAAAATAATTTGGTTCTCGCTACGAAATTTATATAATTTAATCGTAAATGCTTCTCTAGAAGAATTTGTCATTTATAAGAAGGTGAAACGTTATCTAGTATCGTTTTTGATGAGATTTGTAGTGCCACTTTAGCCAGGTTGTTGAAGCTATACAGGGTGATTCGAAATATATGCGAAAATGGGCTGATTCTAAAGTTTATACGAACATATGTTTGTATGAACATTATATAGGTTATACAGTATATAAAATGCCATTCCAATAGAAGATGCAGCTATCGCGTATTTCTGATACGCAGTCTCCTATCGTTACAAAGTTTGGCCACCCTGTTATATACTGTAAACTAATAGCCAAATTTAAATGCGGTTTACAAGATTAAAATGATTTCTTCTATTAATTAATTATATTTATTCTTCTGTGTAAAAAAACCAAGCTAAATACGATAAAGAATGTTGGACCATAGCCTAATCGTACGTACGAACAAATTATAGCACCAATATATCCCTAATTACTAAAACTATTCTTATTAAAGCAAATATTATATTGCTGTTGTAATGAATAATTGATAAAAATAATCAAAATAGATTCTTCACAAGATTTAACCAGAACAAGCAACAATGACTTAATTTAAATTAAAAATTAATGGCATACGAAATTAATACTCGGCATTATTAGAGATCAGAACCAATGGCCAATGTTATTGATCGGGTTTCTCTAATAGTTAGATTAAGATTAATTAGACCATTAGATTAATTACTTGATGGTTCTTATTCTAATGGAGCAGGTAATCGATTTCATATTCTTTATTTTCTATTTCACTGCCCTTGAGGGTGTTCATAAATTAAATTAAAGTAAAATTGTATTAAGTAAATAAATTGCACCACAGAAACGTTGTACTTTTATATATGATTACATCTATAGACTGATTATACAGTGATGATAAATAGAAAATTAAATTGCAATTAATTATTTATTTTTATATAGTGTAGTTGCAAATAAAGTAGGTTCGTGAGCATGAGTTTTAAAAGGTCGGAGTTAAAAAAACACATTATTTTTTACAACATAATTTATTAATTTTTAAACATGTTCTATAATAGGTTTTCTGTATTATTGGGCTGCAATTTGAAAAAATTATAGACTATAAATGCCCACTGTCTTCCGTCTTTCTGTTTGTCTATCTGCCCTTCCTTAATCTCAAGAACGGTGTCAGATAGATAAAAATCAAGACCGGATACGGAAAGCTTAGGAGCTGAAGGCTTAGATTAACTACGGTATGTACAAACTTCTGGTTTCGACAGAAAGTCACGTGAATTCAATTCAAATATTTTTTCCTGAATGGAGTTACATAGATGACGGCACGACTCTTTTGTTATTATCGGGAAAAGTATGATGTACAAGGGCAAAAGACTACATGAAGAACACATATTTTAAATTGAATAAATTAAAGATTGCAGCCCGGCATTGTGACGATGTCAATAAATAATTGCTCGTTATTTTTATTTTATTTTTTAATTCTTTCAAATGGGGAGTTAAATCACAAATTCGTGTGCACGTTCTCCGTTGCAAATATTAATATTTAGTAAGATATTATAATTTTTAAAGACGTTTTAATAGTGGATTGTAAGCCAAAATTCTTTTCCTCATTTCACAAATAAATTGACGAACGTATCATTAATTAATTAATAAGTGATTATTTTCTAATGATCAACTTCGGTTGAATTTATACTATATGAAATTGTCAATGTTCTTGTTGACCTGTAAAATAATCTAAATATATAAAATTACTTGTCCTGACTGACTGACTGAATGACTGATTCATCATCGCTAGGGTTTCTTTCCCGGGATTCTCGCCGTTTATTCCCTACGAGAAAAATCCCGGGAAATCTCGCATTTCAATAATAATTTATCATGTCAGGTTTTCTTTCTATTATTTATTATACGAAAAGTTGCATCTTGAAGACTCACCTAAGAGAAAAATTTTGAGGTTTTATGTTGCATATTATTACCTATGTTTTACAAGTTTCTACTTGTTAGTTCATGTAATATCTATGTATTGTGTTTGCGCACCATTGAACAGCGGAGCACTCACTGAAAGTAAAAATCACTCATCGCACTTTAGTTTATTTTTTATTTTATCTTTAGAAATAAAATGGTATTTTTTTTCGTAATTATTAAAACTCCGAATGAAACGCTTTATTTTACTTTCATCTTATAATGTAGGAGAACATAAATTAATTGAGCCTAACGTGTCCGTATGGGTGAGATTGGCTCTACACCTTTAGTTACTTACTAGAAAATAAATTAAATTATTCAAATTTATGATATTTCTGTATGATCTTTATTATTCATATAAAATTCTATTTTACTATCTCATCCCGGAATTTCCCGGGAAAATAAATTATTTTTCCCGTAATCCCGCTGGAGGCAAATTTCCCGGGAAATGAGAAACCCTAATCATCGCCCAGAGCAAACCGCTGAACCTAAAGAGGTGAAATTTGGTACACAGTTAGGGTACGTCATGAAAACGCGAAGGAATTTTTCAGAAATCAGAAGGGATTTTTCGAAATTCCCCCGCGGGGGAAAGGGAGAGGATTAAGGCTTAACCGGAAGAACGGTTTCTACTGTACTATTTTAGATGCGATATTTTGTTTTAATCTGCGTTTTAGTAGGGTATGCCATGGGAATGCACATTAAGAAGGGATTTTTCGAAATTCTCCCGCGGGAGGAGAGGGAGAGAATTAAGGCTTAACCGGAAGAACGGCTTCTACTCGTACTGTACTATTTTAGATGCGATTTTTTGTTTTCAACTATGTTTAGTCTTCATTGAGTACTTAGGTGTATTAAATTGATAACATTTCAGCCATTGTTGTAAATACAGTATTTTTATCTATTTGATTTTAAAAATGTTCGAACCGTTTTAAATTCGAATTTGTTATCGCATATTGGTTCGATTATAGAACGATTGTAAACGTTCCAGAAAATTGATCAAATTGAAAACAGTTCGTTTGATTCTCGGCAATTCTCATCATTCTCAGCGGTAGGTGTTATATAACAATTACTATAGTTGTTGAAATACTGACTATAAATGGGGTTTGCTTGCAAAATCCTCACGGGCAAAGCCGCGGGTAACAGCTAGTATATTTATAAAGTTTATTTAATTTAGATCTTTTATCTATAATAGAAATTTATATATTCAATGGCGTAATTAAAAATTTTAGTCCCTTAGGTAAAATAGGCCATTTTTTGGCTCTTGGCTTAGGGTTTAGTCTAGCCTCCATATTCATGATGGGATAGGCATTTAAATAACATTTTAAAAAATATTATAGATAGGTATTTTTTAAAATTTCTTTTGTACTGTAGGTTAAACTGTTAAAAATGCAAATTAATATACTAATTAATACAATTATATAATATATAGCCTATATACACACTTGCTTTTAATTGTTAGTCAACAAGAAAATCATTTAATTCTGTTAAAACATTTATTGATGTATATTGATACATCAATAAATAATTCATTTTATTAACTACATAATTATGTAACCAGAAGCGAATTAGCACATTTGAATTTTGAAGGCGGCCAGATGGCCGAGCGGTCAAGGCGGCAGCCCACCGCTCTGGGGGACACGGGCTCGAATCCGAACGGATCGAAAAATCCCCAGGAATTTTTCGGGGGGTGGTCCGTTCGGATATGTCGGTCCCCGTCCCTCACTACCCGGCAGCCCCATTGTGGGCCTGGCCGAACCCATAATGGGCTTGCAAAAAGAGGCCCTCTTAGTGCCCACAGGGCGGAAAGAGTTTAAAAAAAAAAGCACATTTGAAGTTCCTGAATGACAATTTCAATCTCCTCGTACGAGAACTTAATATGTAATCATTTCTGTTGGGAACACTCGAGATCCCAAGCAAGCGTTGCGCTATATCAAAAGATTATTGCTAGATATTTGGGATTTGTATTGTTTGATGCCCCTAATTTTATTATTTTTTTGTTGGTTTTTTCATTTTTATCTTTATTTGCCCCGTGGGCAATAAGAGAACCTTTTTCTCTTACTTGTTGTGAGTTTGACTAGGCTCACAAATACGGCTGGATAATGGGCATTAAAGTTGGGCCCGACAAAGTCGGGATTTATCGCCCACAAAAAAATTTCAGGGGCTATTCGCCCGGATTTCATTCCGGATCTCCCAGAGGGATAGGATGACACCTTAATCGCCCTAGACGCCTACCGCTCTGGAGGACCGGGGATTGAATCCGGAGGGCAACCTGAAATATTTCATGGACGGCAAATCTTGGCTACATCGCGCCCATTCTCCTACAATCGGCCATCACATTGTGGGCCTGGCCTAACCCACGATAGGTATAGGAAAAAAACCCTCTTAGTCAGTTCCTACAGACCAAAGAAAGGAAGGTAGAGATGAAAACCTTGTTTAAAATTTCAAAGATCATTTTAAAATTCTAAAAAAATCGTCCACAAATGAAAAAAATCCAAAGATGTTTTTCATTTAAATCGACAAAAGATCCAAAAAATGAATACATTGAAAGTGCGAGAATTAAATATCAAGGAATTTTTCTGTAGAGTTTGTAGAAAATAGAATATTTCTTTCTAAAACAAAGATCATTGATATTTTTTCCTTGCTATTTTCTGTTTTTTAAATTCTTTCCGTCCTGTGGATCCTAAAAGGGCCTTTTTTCCAAGATCATCGTAGGTTCGGCTAGACCCACAACGAGAGCGACCAGATGGCGAGGGACGGGGCCCAACATCTTCGGGACTGATCTCCCACGAAAAAATCCAACCCGTGTAATAGTTCAAATGGAAAGTTAATTTTAATTCGGCATTAAAAAGTTGCTATAATTTTCTTTTTTTATTGTTCTCAAAAAGAAATAATTGTTGGATTAAATCAGATATTTTACGAAATTTTTATCTAATTCAAATTGAAAACTATTTTACATGCAATTCAATCAAATTCAAATTGAATATGCAATATCAAATCGCATTTATAACTTCTAAACTATTGGTTTTTTCTGAATGTAGTTATGCAGTTCAAGAGTGGACATGGAGTACGTCACCAGACAGTCACTTCGAAGAAGATATGAACTTTTACCCTATCTTTATACGTTATTCCATTTAGCTAATGTCCATGGTTCGACCGTTGCTAGACCTCTTTTTCATCAGTGAGTTTCTCATATTTTATGTTACATTTTAAACTTTCCTTCCCTCTTTATAACTGATTTCTTAATTTATTTCACATATTGTATATTAATAATAAACTTCCTATTAAAAATTCAATAGAATCAGACACCATGCCAAAAAATAAATAAATAATGTTTTTCTAAACAAATGATACTATATAATTTAAAGTATCATTTGTTTAATAGTATAATTTATATTTAATTTTGTTTTCATAGTAAAGGTTTCATAATTTTTATCTTAACATTTCAAAATATTCTCCGCCAGTTTCCACGTATTTTTATACACCCAAACCCATTTCTGGAAGCACAAACTCCATTATTTATAAGGTACAGTCTGATTTCTATCAATAAAAGTAGTTAAATCTTCGTCTGAAGAAGGAAAAAAAATCGCAAAGTTCTAAGTTGGGAGAGTAAGGAAGACGGGGTTTGAATTCTTTCACTAAGACTAAGGTAATGTTAGTAGTTTTAAGAGCGTGCAAGCGTTATCCTGATGCCATTCTTTGTAATTCGATACTTGAGCGTTTTTTACCAATATGCATTAACTATTTCTAACGGTATAATGCACAAACGTCCGGATCTGCAGTAAAAGGTTACCATCACTCTCTTGGTTACATTTTCTCAGAGACTTCTATCGTTTTGTTTCTGGTATAACCATATTTCGTCATCTGTTATGTCAGAGACATTAGAACTACCTCCATATACTGAATATAATGATGGATATAGATGTATAATGATGGATACAGAAGTACCCAAAGCGGGGACTAACTCAAAAATATTTCAATAAAAGTAATTTTTATTAGCATTTGCAAAGCAATTGTATTATGGATGGTCTGATAAACCATGTTGATATTTACCATCATAAAATGTTTTTAAAAACATTTTGAAGTTCGAACAAATAAATTTTAATTTTTTGTCAATGGGAAGGCTTGAACCCCTGTAGCCCTCCCCTTTTATTCGCCACTGCATATACAGGAAAATCCTCGCTAATTCGAACTCGCGATTATTTCATCCCTTGAATTTCCAACTAAATACGATTTCCTGCAATGACACCATTGCAAACGCTATTGTTTTTAATCGAATGCTAAGAGAGGAGGGATCCAACGTGAATATTTGCATAATCAAAATGATCATGAATACTCTTGACAACTCCCGTTAAATAAAATTTCCAGTTCATTTATCTTGATATGTGTATGTCTCATTTATTTAAAAAGTTTTTTATTCAACGAAGATTTCCCCAAGATTCCGTTACCTATGACATTGATCAACAATTTTTGTGGGGAGACTCTCTCATGATTTCTCCAGTTGTAGAAAAGGTAAAAAATGTTTTTCAATAAAAGGAGATTTAAGATTGAGTTTATCAGATGTTTATTTTTACAGGGTTCTATTACTGTTAATGCTTATTTTCCAAAAAGTTTATGGTACGACTATTATAATGTGAGTACAACTAATATAAATAGTTGTAGTTTTATGCAAATATATCAAAGTATCCCTATTTATAGGGAAAGGGTTTTGAATCAGTTGGAGAATGGATCACCCTACAGGCCCCTTTGGACAGAATTAGCCGCCCTGTCAACTTACATGTTTTAGGTGGTCAAATTATTCCTACTCAACAGGCAGCTAATACAACTTCCATTAGGTAGTTCATTTGAATAAAATATAATAAATATAACTTTAACAAGTATCAGTTAAGGTATAATTTTATAGCCGCAAGAATCCTATGGGTCTAGTTATTGCTCTGAATGCTTCAAATCAAGCTGTGGGAGAACTCTTTTGGGATGATGGAGAATTGAAAGGTACCTTTTTTTTATTTCAAGTTAAAATTTTCCATAATAAAATTTTATGGTTTCAGATTCTATATCTGCTGGAGAATATATCAAAGTCAAATTTAGTGTATCACAGGTTAGTATATTAATTATTTTAATTTGTTTAATAATAATAATAATAATTAGTAAATATTATTGTGTTTGCAGAATACTTTAACAGTTAAAGAAGAATTAGGGAAAAATGCTTTCCGTTCTAGTTTTAGAGAATTGCATATACAGTATGTTCGTTTGATGGGTTTAAAAACTAAACCTTTGAAAATTACCATTGATGATAATTATATTTTGGCAAAAGAACAGTATAAATGGGATGAAGAATATCAGGTAAACTAAGATTATTTTATTTGAAATTTATTATTATTGAATAATGACAATGTTTGTTTTGTAGTTTTTACAACTGCAGCAGATTCTGATCCCTCTGACTGGCAAAACTGTAATCGAATGGTTCCTCTAGTAACTATGCCAAGAATATGCAAATTCTCGTTTATTCACAATAGAATGTAAATTTCCAAATTGTGATTAACAGATTTTTATTTACTTTTAAAGCTATTAAGAAATAAAATATTTTCATAGACAAAATAATTAAAATATTTAAATATCAGTAATTCTTATGAATTGACAATTTATGAACTTTCAATTCATAATAAAGTAACTTATTTTCCTTATCATCATCATCAATAGTTAAATTGAGGTTTTTATTTATAGACTTGATTTTATTAAGTCTATAAAATCAAGTCATATCAGATTCCTGACGTCGGCGACACCTGGCGTAGGTTAGTAAGTAGTTAGTAACGCGCCAAGGTGTATACTAGGGAAAGTTAGTAACCCAGAGTGGTTTCCCGTTGCCTTCTCTGGGACGCGATGTTACGCGAGGGAAACTAATGCCTTCCGGGAGGACTTTTATGGGGAACTGGCCTCCTATTTAGTCGTTATTGGCAAGGAGAAAACCCGGAAAACTCCAAGCAGCCAGCCTGTCCGATCGCGGCGCGAACACACGACCGAACTCCCAGTGTTTAGGGTACGAAGACCGCTCGGCCACTGGTGGGCTTTTTAAATTTTTTTTTTATGCAGGTGTTAATTAAAGTTAAACTTCTTCTTCGTGGCACATTCTATTATTAAGTAAAAAACAGTTTAATCTGGGAAAATTCAAAATGGATTATTTGCTTTATCTTTTAATACTAAATGGAATTTAAGAATAAACTAGAACAATTACTTTTTCCTCTTTAATAATAATTTCACTTAAAGATTTCAGAATCAAAATTACATTTGAAAGTATTAAAATTTAATCAAAAAAATATTACAAAAAGCATTTTATTTTTTACAATGTAAAACTTGACTTAAAGCAGAATACTTTCTAAAAATGCCTGCTGCGTGTTGCATGACAAAATTGTTAGCTGCATTATTACATTTTATTGCTTAATAATTTTAAAAATATGTACATGTTTAATTCTCCAAAGCATTATTATTTATCTTATAATTAATTTATACTGTTAAAATTGTGTTTTGAAAATATACAATGTATAATGCAAACAGGAAACCACGACAACTAGTGTACATGTTGAGCAATAAGCAGGTGCTAAAAGACTTCCACATTGACAATTTTGCCAACATTTGATTTACATTTAAAATTTTTAAATTTATTGGCAGTGTTAAATCAACTTTTTCTTTAAAATTTGAGCATTTTTCCGTCATTAATAATTTTTTATACAAATTGGCACAAATACATCCATCCTTCCTAAACTTCTGTACACTATTACTTTTTGAAGTCATAGGAACTGATGATAAATAAAGTTATGGACAACTTTCCTATGATAGCCAAATATTGGATCCACTATCTCTTAGATATACTGTACTAATGTAGCATGAAATTCTTTCAAACACCTCAATAACTGACTGAAAGTTGGTCTTTCATCTGGGGATGATGCCCAACAGCAAGCCATAACTGTGAATCTAAGAAATTGAAATATTTCAAAAAACATTTCAATTTTATTAAATATACAACAATTAATTTATTTTTACATAAACCCATTTCAATAACCATAAAACTAAACTTACAGTTCATCAGGACAATTAATTGGCTGTGACAATCTGTAATTGTCTCTAAGATAAACTCCCATTTCAAAAGGATCCACTTCGATATATGGTTGTTGACCCAAAGTCATTAATTCCCAGAGCGTCACTCCAAATGCCCACTAAAATGAAAGAATATTTAATTTAAAAAAAATAATAATAATAAATAATGTTCTAATAATTGATGAATTGTTATACATACAACATCACTACTTGGTGAAAATTCTTTATGCAATAAACTTTCGGGAGCGAGCCATTTAACTGGGCGATTCTCATTATCTCCTAAACAATGATAATCATTGGGGAAAAGATCCCTAGATAAAGCATTATCTGTAATCTTGACTTTCAACCAAGTGTCAATGCTGCAATCAAAAACAAATTAATCAGTATTATTCTTAATATTGATACAATAAAAATTAAATATTTTAGTTGTATGTGAATTTTCAAATAATACAATTTACTAACAAAAAATAATCATAGTTCACTTTTTTCATATTATGTTTTACCTTAGTAGTATATATCAGACCATAATTATAATTTTATAAACTAACCTTATGCCTTAAGCCTTTAAGCCTTTTAGTTATATAAAAGGCTTAAAGGCTTATTTCTAATCCTTTGTTAAAGTATACTGCTTTATTTGATGATATTGCTAGGTGGTCTTTTAGGTACTTTGCATTTACATTAAAAAAGTTATGTTCTCTCTCATAAAAGGGATGATGCCCAACAGCCAATTTGTGAAGACAATAAGTGTTTGTGTTAAAGATAATAGTGTAAAATGAAATTCTGCATAAATGTGTGTTATACCTCAAATATCCCAGATGGTTGAATATACACTTAATTGTAAATAGTCGAATAATGTTTTAAACACATTATAATGTTTTTCTGTTATATTTTTATTATATATATTAAATCTTTAATTTAATAATAAATAAATAGAGTTCATTATGAAATGAAGAATTTCTGAATACAAAATACATATGTTATTTACACAAAATTAATACTTTATATAAAAGAATTTTAAACATTGTTTTAAGTGAATATAAATTTTACTTCTGTGAATCTTACAATTGCAAGTCACAATAGTTATATTCATATTTAAATATCTGGATGATGATATTCAATTACTCTGTGTTAAACAGCATTAATGAATTATTTAGAATATAAAATTATAATTAAGGAAACTTATCTGATTATTAATACAAGAAAATTTTATTTAATTTTAACATAGAAAAAGTTACTTACACACAATTTCTAGTTGCCAAATCTGTATGTATTAACTTCCTTTTGTGAAGGTAAATCATACCTTGCACTATTTGAATTGCAATATCAACTAAATCTTGAGTTAGTAAGGTCTGTAATATTAAAGTTTTCAAATTAGTAATAAATAAATAATTCATAAAACTAAATTATAAACATATCAAAAGTCCTAATTGCTTAAAATTATGATTAGTTATTTAATTGTAAAATCTTCTCATTTAACAATTGTAATACTTCAAAAACTTAACTTGTAAATTAATAATATATTTAATTTCTTAAAAAAATATTACAAATTAACTTCAAAAAATTTTGCTAAAACTTAACAGCAACTTATTTTATCTATCTTTTATTCAATAATTTTTAATAATAAAACAATGTGTGGTTTTTAAAAAAATTTTGAAATTAAAATAAATGTCACAGATCATCTGAACACCCCTTTTAAAATGAAGGAAAATGAGTTTTGTTAAAAATCGCAAAAATTGTGATAAGTAAATTGGGTATGATCTAACAAAGACCACAGTTGAATTTTCTAAATGGAAAATGGTATTTTTTAATTTAGATTAAGGTTAAATGCAAAAAATAAAACAATTCTGTCTCTGGAAGCATTTTCAGAAGAAATGTTTAAGATGAAATTGTCTTATTTTTTTATATTTCATTCAAATCTAAATAAAAAAAATACTATGTTCCATTCAGAAAATTCAGCTTCAGGGCTTGATGACCCATTTCCAGCAAAGTGAAAATATCATAATTTGGTAGTGTGTATCCAATTTTGGGATTTTTGGATGAAATTCACTTCCCTTTATTTTAAAAGAGTTGTCTGGTGGTTTGTGACACCCCATGATACTTATACGTAACATAGCTATAAAATGAGTGAAATGATCTTGTTATCTTCAATCTCATTTCACAAAATTTCTCTATTGAACAATATAAATATATAAATAACCATTGTTTCATATGTATATAATAAATAATGAGCCATAGATGGCATTAGATATTTGATTATTTATCTGAGACAGTGTATTTAAATATAACAATATTCTTGATCAAATAAAAATATTTAAAATACGAAAAAGTCATCAAATACGATTACAGACTTACTTTCATCTGGGGATGATGCCCAACAGCAAGCCATAACTGTGAATCTAAGAAATTGAAATATTTCAAAAAACATTTCAATTTTATTAAATATACAACAATTAATTTATTTTTACATAAACCCATTTCAATAACCATAAAACTAAACTTACAGTTCATCAGGACAATTAATTGGCTGTGACAATCTGTAATTGTCTCTAAGATAAACTCCCATTTCAAAAGGATCCACTTCGATATATGGTTGTTGACCCAAAGTCATTAATTCCCAGAGCGTCACTCCAAATGCCCACTAAAATGAAAGAATATTTAATTTAAAAAAAATAATAATAATAAATAATGTTCTAATAATTGATGAATTGTTATACATACAACANACGATGCAGTCGACTTCCGTTGATGGAAAGATGTTGATCCGAGGTCGGGAGATGGAGACGAAGATGGGTGCCAGACACACACACAACAACAGATCTGTCACTCAGAACTTTCGGGAGATACGATTACAGACTTACATAAAAAATTTTTTTATATCAATACATATATTAAAATAAAGTAACACATTTTAATTTTTAATATTTTTTTAAAGGAATATAGCAAAGTGTGAAGTGTATGTGGCACAAACATTTTTTTTTTTGTTTATCATTGGGATTGTTCAGATGCTTAAAGTTAATATTTTATAAATAGTGTATTATTTCAAATGCAATAGCTTGAATATTAGTTAAAAAGAATGAATATATATGTAAAAATATTTACTTTTTGAATTCACTAGTAAACCACAAATCAGATTTTTATCTTATCATAGTTTCATTTTGTTTGAATGTTCTTATGGCATGAAAATATCAATTAAAACAAAAGCATATTTTGTCTTAGAGAAAATCAGCATCTATATAAATCACACTGATTATTTGGAATAATTGTCAAATTTCTCTCCAAGATCTAATAACTTTAGTGAAATCTCTAAACTTACATCCTGTACTAAATTATCATTAGTTACAAAATAAACAAAAGTTAATAAAAGTAATAAGATTTTATTTAATTTTCTTCTTTGTAAAGCTATTTCATTAAGATTTATTTAAAAATTGGATGTTTCTTTTTAATTGCTTTCCATGCTTCATTAATTTATTTTTTAGTAATTTCTCATAAACTCAATCAATCAAAATTTAATACATCATTTAATTAAAGCAGAATCAAAACATATACAATTTATTTAAGTTTTATATTAAAAAATTTTATAATACCCAAAAAATAAACTCAGTCACCAACAAAATTCAATTTTAAATAGAGTGCACTCTCATTAATCTAAATTAATTTTTGTATCATTCAGATTACTGAGATTATATATAAAGAAAAACAAAATCAAAAAAGGACTACAAATAAAGTTAGCATATTTTAAAGAATTAATCCACAACTTTTCATTTCTGGCTAAAATATTTAGCAGAAAAACAAACAAAATTAATTAAGATTAGTGAAAGTGCCATTTATATTCATTAAAAATAATACTTACATGACAATGCCCTTCAGATGAAGATTTACATTTCTGTAGAAATTTTTTAAAATTACCTTGATCTACAAATGGATAAACTATTAAAGGATGTTGCACATCATCCAAACAAACAGCTACAACTGACAATATATTAATATGATTCATTCCATAGAACATTGTTCCTTCTTTCAGTAAGAGAGAAATTTGTACTGGTGATGCTTGATCTAAAATTTTAAAAAATATAATTACTTTTTAAAGGTTATTAATTCTAACATATAACTTCATAAATTCAATTTTAAATATGAAGTAGTATATTTAAATTCTTATTAAAAAATAGAAAGCAAAACACAATGAGTTGGAATCAAATGAAATTTTATTTGTACAAACGTAATGATGATGGTAGTAAGTGATTTTCAATATCATACTAAATGGACAATTTCCTGTGGAACAACAGTACAATTTAAAGGAATCTTTAATACCTTGTAGGACTGCTTTTTGCCTAAATACAAATGATGGCAATATGGCTGGGCACTTTATGCTATGATGCAAGTATCATTCCAGATCCTTCACACAGATGGCCAAAACTAACCACCTACCTGGTCTAATGATTGACATGGAGCAAATCTGGAGACTAAGTAGGCCAAGAAAGTATGGCAGCATGACGGAGACATTCCTGGGAAATCCTAGACATGCATATTTTGCTGGAAAATGGCTGTTTGCAGTCCTGCCATGAAAGGTAACACTTCAAGGTGCAGTATTTCTTGAATGTACTGTACTGTCAATGTCCCTTGCACCACTACTAGGGGGTGACCAATGTTATACAACATGACTCCAGAACAGCATGCCACTCAACAGTAAAGATAAGACTGAAGCACTCAGCACTGATCTTCCACACTTACATGATGGTTTTCTGTTCCAAACAGCAGTAAAGAGTGGATGATAAATATAATAAGTCAAATATACAACTGAGTGTGACAGTAAATAATCTTTATACTTATATTATCCTCTAGTTTAAGGCCACCAGTGGTTGGCTGAGTGAATAAAACCATAGATTATAGATAGATGGTTCATGCCAAAAGGTTGGCCACATGTAGTTTTCCAAGTTTTCTTAACAAGTTTAACATCTAACCCATAAGAGTTTCCCATAAAAGTCCCTGCAGGAAAAACTCTTCCTTGGCAGATCACCCACACATTACATTGCCTCATACCATCAATTAAATCAAATCTCTCTATTTTAAGATATTGGTCTATTAGCAGTTTACATTAATTCAAATCAGAGATGACTAAAGTCTTACTTTCATTTAATTAGTAACTTAATTCATTATAAAATACCTTACTACAAATTATCTGACATACAAATAATTTATCTGCAAAGCTATATTATTTTTTTCCTCTACTTTTAACACCAAGTGGACTTGTAAACTGAGCACCACCATACTGAATGCTACAAAACAGTGACAGGAATGGTTGTTGTTATATTACAACCATAAATTTGTAAAAATTTTTAAATATGTAATAAATTAAATTGGTCAAATCTTTTCCTTTTTTTTTTTAAACCACTATTTTAAAAATCATATTTCAATTAAAGCATTTTTGAAAGTCTGTTCTATGGGCTTAAAAATACTGTTAGATAAAGAATGCCACCCAACACCATCGTTCATATAGAAAGTGAAGATGGCTTTCTTTATAATTCATCTTTGATTTTTTGTACTTGCAAAAATTCTGCAGATTTTCATGAGATGAATGGAGTTACATTCAAAAAGTAATGTGGGGGCCAAAGAGGGGAGAAATAAAAAGAAACTCAATGAACGATAATATGTGATATATATCGTCATCATCTCCCTTNCAGAAATTGATTAAACCAATATCAGTGAAATTGATGGTATCATTTTTCAACTGTTATTATTTTCCTATTGTTATTATTTGCATATTAAAAGTAAATTTGTACTTGCAAAAATTCTGCAGATTTTCATGAGATGAATGGAGTTACATTCAAAAAGTAATGTGGGGGCCAAAGGGGGGAGAAATAAAAAGAAACTCAATGAACGATAATATGTGATATATATCGTCATCATCTCCCTTGCCATTTGGATTGCCGAGCAGTAACAATCAACGACATGTGGAAGCAGTTGAGTCAGAGATAGATGCTTTGTTTACAAACAACGCAACGTTTATTAAACACGTAAGAAGCTTACAAGATTTCCGCGATCTTGGAAGTTCTGTGGCAGCTGCGGCCTCTGGGTCTTCCTCTCCTTTCTAAGATAATCCCATTTTGAAGGAGTGTCCCTTGTTCGCGAATGAACCATTCCATTTCATCATGTCTCAACGACTCCGAGACAATGCAGTCGACTTCCGTTGATGGAAAGATGTTGATCCGAGGTCGGGAGATGGAGACGAAGATGGGTGCCAGACACACACACAACAACAGATCCGTCACTCAGAACTTTCGGGAGAAGAAGCCGTCGCGTCCTTGAATTTCCGGGGTTTTACCTGTTTTCTCTCAGATTCCCCTTTCCGATTGGTCTCTTGTCATCACCTGATGACAATTCGAAACCTTTCAGGACGCAGGAGAAATCAAAATCAAAGTTTAATTCGATCTCCAACCGGAAATGGTGGACAGACTTACATTCTTCTATTGTTTAAAGGTTAGCGTCACATTTTCATAAAATAAAAATCTATTTCTAACTACTATATTATTTTCTTTAAAACAATTATTTTAACACGAATTTTAGTGAGGGTTCGGATCTGTCCCGAGCCTCACAGTAATTCAAAAGTGTACTTCCCAAACTTAACCTTTTTTAAAATCATTACAAATAATGTTACTTATTATACCTCTAAAGCAGAAAACTGTCATCATCTTGAAAGAAGTTACTATTATTAATTGGTCAGAAGTTGATAAATATTGAATTGGCAGCAAAATATGGACATTGCATTTTAAGACTTTCTCAATGTCACTCAGTTAAACCCCATTAAATTGGCATAGAGTCAGATTAAGAGATTTGTGGGTCAATAAATCATTTAAATTCTGTGATGTTGAGAAACAGGCAAACACACCATTCAGTTAGTCACTATGAAAAACTGGAAAAATTTACATTCAGCATGTTATATCAATATTCCAGAACTTATGAGTTATAATTGTGGCAGATAACAGAATATGCAAGAATTTAAACTGCAAATTTTGATGAAGACTTAAGCCGAATAGAAGAACTAAATGTTTCTAAATCTATATTTTTTTCCTTCTTTAATTTAAGTTCTATGTTCAATAAAGAATAACTTCATAATTTAAATGTATTTATTGTATATGTTTCTAAAATTTTTTTAACTTTTGATACTTTGGTATCCAAAGCTATCTTTTTAAATATAGTAATTATTTAATTTGAAAGAAACATAAAACAACTAAATAAAAGTAATTTATTTACTCAAATAATTTCTTCATAACTTATTAAAACATACACACTACTATTAATATAAAAATCATTTTAGAATTGAATATAAAACATATTCATATAGTGGTGGGTCAAGATTTATGATGGGGGGGCAAATATAGTACAAATAATCATATTGCAACTTTATACTCATTTAAAAATTTTCATATCTATACAGACAAATTACCAATCTAAAGAATTAATAAAGAAAAGATGAATAAAATTAGGTAGCTAAAGGTAATTCAAAATAATTGGAACAACAGCAATAATAATAAATATCCAGCAATGAGTTGTTGCTTAACTTTCCCAGCAACATTTAAAACTGTGTGTAGTGCCAACTGTTATGATATTTTATTAAAAAACTTTATATTTTTAATTATTATAAAATGGCAAAAAGCTTAATTTTGAGGGTAGAGATGGGTTTTATAAAAACTGTAAATGCTAATAACAAGTAAAAGTCACTATTAAGTCCGATCCTACTTGAGACATGACACCCCCCACAATCTTTCCACCTTGTTGACCTTTAACCACCAAAATTTAATAGCATCAATCCCCTAATACACAAACCTCCCTGCAAAATTTCAGAAATTTTTGACAAAAAGCACAGGAGTTATTAAACTTCAAAGAGGGTGAACAAATCATGCGTTCCCACATAAACACTAACATCCATACATACAGGAAAAAACAAAATAAAATAATTTTAAAACAAATAGAATGCAATACAATAGAACAATAGAATGCAAGCAATGGGTATTGCATTCTATTGCATTCTATTTTACGTTCGTTTTTGTTTTAAAGTGGCTTAACTGAAGAAGACTATTAAAAATAGTCGAAAACGTTATTATTTTTTATTAAATACTTCGTTGCTGGAAATACTAAAGTGTTTGATTATTTTACAGGAAAAAAAACTCCCAGTTTTTTGCATTTCTCAATATTTCAAGGTCTTGGGTCCAAAAATGTAAAAATCTTGGGGTCATCTTTCAACCAATCACCATACTTTCCCTTTGTTATATATAACAGAGCCAGAAAAGTAAAATGACAGGAAGACGTGCTCAGCCCCCTTTTCCTGGATCCCTCATCATATTCATATTTTTATTTTAATTATTGCATTTATAAAACAAAGTCTTTAATACATGTTCAGAAACTGGAACTTTAAATGCAATATTTTCTATCAATTATTTCACAATATTAGCAGATGAATACTACTGCTTGTTATTCAGTTTATTTACAATTGATTTATTCTTAACAAATTGACTATAGATAAAATTTCATAGAAAATGAAATAGTTTCTTACCTGTTTTGAAAACTGTTTTTATATCATTTCTCATGTATTATTATAGTTAATGCAATATAAATATATTGCTTGCTAATTGAAAATACATATTAGTCATTTTATACATTTTTTTTCTATCAAAAACCTTATGTAATGAAAAGCAAAATACCATAACTAGTTTGCATCTTTGTAATTTACTTATGATGTTTCTATATTTATTTTCCTCACATTTATATTAAACTTAATAACATTAATTTCTCATAATTATACATTGGAAGAATCTCAAAAAAATAAAATTATACAGAAATTGATTAAACCAATATCAGTGAAATTGATGGTATCATTTTTCAACTGTTATTATTTTCCTATTGTTATTATTTGCATATTAAAAGTAAACTTTTTCCTTCAACAAAAAAATGCTTTTTTTCCAGAACAAAGCAGTCAAGTTGTTTTTCTTTATTTAATATAAAACTATATTATTTTTTAATATTATAATAATAGAAAATTTAATCTACATTCTAAAAAGTTATATTTTCTAAACGCCTACCTCTAGTGCCAAATTGATTACGTAATTCATTTAGTAATTAGCCTAATACTAGCCCAATACGCATATCGTCGATGTTTAGATATATTTTCTAATTTTGTGTGGTTATACCGGTATATAAGAGCTAAGAAATTGTTGTATTTAATTCTGCAAGAGTTTTATCTCTAAAATAACAATATTATTACCTGAAACTGTCTTTATAAATATATTCTTCTTATTTTTTGTTTCAGCTTCATCTTCAATTAATGTTCCATGATATATTTGGCCAAATGTTCCTGTTACATAATATCATATATCTTAAAATATAATTCAAAAAAATAATAAAGGTTCTTTTGATTAAATAATGCATTTTTTTATAAGAACAAACCTTCTGTAATTTTATCTTGTAAAATAATATTTTTTCTCTCTATAGATAATTCAGTAAGTTGTTCTGAAAGCTCTGTTGTCTTCAAATCATTGCTCTGGCTAAGTATTCCTACAGACACAGGCGAGAGACGTCGAAAACTAGTATAACCTAGTTAATTAAAAAAATTCCACATTTGTGAATTGAATACAATGAATACAAATAATTTATTTGGAAAATAAAAATTTATCCAGAAATACTCACTGCCTGTATTACTAATATTATTAGGAGTGTCAACTCTTAAAAATGTCTGACATTGAGTAGATAAAACTGGAGAACTTCTCCCAAAGCTAAAATTTGAACATTTAAAAAATTAATTTTAATTCATAAAAACATTCAACTGTTATTTTATAAAAATTATGATGATAATTGTTTTAAAATAAAAACATATCAAGTATATCTTACTTTACAGCATCTCTTCTAGTTTTATGAGCTCTGAGGCAACTTGCAATAGCTAAAATTGTGATTATTATCATCACTGCACTAGCACATCCTACACCAATGAAAAAAGGACTGGTGGTAGCAATTGCATCTGTAGCTAAAATAAATTAAGTATATTATAAATAACATTTCTAAATAATATCTATGAAATGACGAAGTAAAAGTTTTTTATAATTAAGTTAATCGCTTAATTTAAAATAAATTGCATTTTATAAATTACAAATATTTATCAGTATATGATTCAAAATTATTTTATCAAGATATCAATTTCTTTTCAGTTATGTAAGTAAATTATATTTACAAAATATAAATTATACTTTGCAATATGCATTATTGCAATTATACTTTTAGACATTAGGCAATTTTTTAAATCCAGAATTTACAGTAGTTAAACAGATTATAAAATACCAATAAAAAAATGTTAAAAATTGATTAATTTTTCTATATAAGGCCTTCCAAAAAGAATGCTACAATTTTAAATTATTATAATTATTTTAATTATTACCTGAGAATGTCATAATGTACTGTACATTGAAACATTAGAAACTAACTTTCATATTTGCCAATTACAATTTCTCAATGCATATAATCATGTCACACAACATACATCCAACTGATACTCAAATTCTTCCCATGTTTGCTACAGCATATCTGACGTCACTTCTCCCACAGCAGCCACAACTCTATATCTCCAGATTACTCATGTTGCATGATGATGAGTGATTTCGACTTTGAAAACTGCAAAACAAAATTCTCTCTCTGTTGCAAAGTCACCAAATTTTTTACAGTGCTTCCTAGAGATAGTAGACAATAAGATTTGAATGCAGATAGAAGATGAAGCTCAGACAGTTACTCATTTGGTGTACATCACAAGTAATAATATAATTACAGTAATTTAAAATGGTAGCATTCATTTTGGAAGATCCCATATTTAATATCAAGTATTACTGTCAGATCATTCAATATATTACAGAACTTTATATTTGAAATTTATACTAATAGAGAATTAAAGGAATCAATGCTTATTCAATTATACAAAGAAAAAAAAAAAAAACTCAAAAATGCAGAAATTTATTTTAGATCAATCAAAAAAATATTTTTTAAATATATTATTCGTTAATCATGTGATTAACAAATAATCACCAACATTAATAATAAAGAAGTGCTTTATAATAAATAATCACAATGAAGAAATTTATGAAAATCTCAAAATCATCAGTTTTATTTAATAACTTTCCTAGGGATATTTTAAAATCATTTAAAAATTTATTTCTTTAAAATAAAGTCATCTGAATTGAAGAAGATAATGTATTACTATTTATAGATCAATACTGTTGTTGAAATATTCATAAAACATGTAATATAGCAATATTTACTCAGGTATTCTCTTATATATTAAATCATTCCAAATATCATTGTTTTAGCTCTACTAATTTAATAATTGTGCTATTGAAATAAAATTCTTAATATAATTATAGGCCATAAAATTGTACATAAGATTTAAAAATAGCAAAAATTATCAAAAAGTTTAAATTATCATAGAACAGTGGTTCCCAATTAATTTTTCCTGCGTACCACTTCACGAAAGAGCTCAAACTTGCGTACCCCTTATAGCAGAAATTCATATTGATCCATACTAATATTATAAATTCGAAGATAATTCTGTCTGCTGTCTGTCTGTTACCTTTTCATGTCTAAACCGCCAAACGTGTTTTAATAAAATTTGGCACAGAAATAGCTTACACGTTGAAGATGGACATAGGCTACATTTTACTATGAGAAAATATCTTACTCCCACGTGAAAATTCGATATAATGCAGGCGAAACTGTGGGTAGACAGCTAGTGATAAATAGAATAAGTTTTTTTTTTTACATTTATTACCTTTAAAATACAATTCTAATAATAATGAAAATAACAAAGTTATTTAATTTTAATGTGACAAATGTGCACAATTTTCTTTGCACAACTTTGTAAAATCTGGTTGCTTTTTGGTCAGCTTCAGTCTCGAGTCATCTTCGAGTCGAAGTCGGTGACGATGTTTAGTTTTCATGTTTGTCATGGCCGAAAATCCGCTCTCGCAGAGGTATGTTGTGCAAAATGGTAGTAAATATTTTATTGCCGCTTCGCTGACATGATAATAATGATAATTGTACAATTAACACAAATTGTGTTAATTGTACAATTTTTGTTTCTTGCGTAAGAATTTCATTTAGGTATTGTCACAAATGCATTTTTTTGATGAAATTTCGAGAATATTTTTAGTTATAAATAAACGAATTTGTGCATTCCACATCGTGTTGTAAATTGCCGAATTTTTGATGGTCCCTCATTATTTTTTTAATTGCTTCATCTCATGCATTTAAATTTTAAATTGACCGATTTTAGATTGCTGCGCGTACCCCTTCGTGCAATTTCGCGTACCCTTGTACCACTAATTGGGAACCACTGTCATAGAATATTAAATTTCAAACAAATATCAACATGAACTATTTAGATAAGATTCCATAAGAATTATACAGGGCATCCAACAAGTGGAGTGCAGTGGAGAAGGTTTAAGTAAAGTTTTAATAAAAATGAAGTTTTACATATTTTATTGCTGTTTCTCCTACAGCAAATGCTAGAAATATCCCCCAGAGGCCCCAGAATCTGGGGGAGTGTGGTCTGGAGACCTATAAGACCAGATTCCACAGGAGATTATGCAATCATCAAAGAAGTCTTCCAAAAACCAGAACATCTGTGAGCAAGTAGTATCATCATCTAACACAGTGGAAATCAGGATATATGACTTCTGGGTCTTGTATGCAATGCTATATGTATAACTTTATTGTCATTACAAATATCTCATTTTTTCTAGATAAAAATAAATAATATTAAATTTAATGATTCATCAAAATATAATTGGGTACTAATAGGATTATATTATTATTAAACGTTATCAGGAAGTGAAAAAAAATGTCTGCATGAGATGCCAAATTATTCTAATAATGCAAGTCTGCAAATTTAAATTTTGACATCATTGCATGAACTAAATCAATTTTATATAATTTGTGCATACTGAATGTAAAAAGAACTATTGTTAGTCAGTTTTTTTTCTAAGAAGAAATGGCAAGAAATACTGATATTTCTAGTTTTACAAATATAATATGAAAATAACCATTTAATCACAAATGTGTTTTCACCCAATAGCAACTAAAATATAGACTACATAATACTAATACAAAATATTACAGTTTATATGTAATCTTCTGATCGCTAAGATCAAGGTAATTATTTTTTTCCTTCGTGAAATTTATTTTGCTCCCTTTCTTCTATGTGAAAAAAGGAAGCAGGTAGAATCTCTCATTTAAGTAATCAACAATAAATCAGTGATTATGTTCCTTGACTTTTCTCTCTCAATTTTGATGCATATTCTGCAAGCTCTGAGAGGAACACAGATTTTATCTTAATTACTGTTGTCACATTCCACTTTTGCTTCATTGGAACAAATTTACCATAGATGAAACTATAACAACAATCCAAACTGTTTTTATCTCAATATGATAAGTGATTTTAAGTCAAAAGCAGCTTATCTCGAGCTGTCACTATACATGAATGATCCGCTCCTATTTATATGTAAATTACATGTTTCTAGAATTTTCTGGAAAGCAGATAAAACATGGAGAGTGGCATCCAATGAATAAGAAATATGTGACCAGTGATGTCATGACATGTGTCATGCAGCCCATTCTATATTTCTTCCTTTTATTAAACAGAATGAAAAATTCAGCCCATTTTAATATATTTCTAGATTATATATGGTGGATTCATATCAAGTATTTGAAATAAAAAAAGAGATCTTGATTTTGAGGACTGAATTATATAATTTTCATGTGCAGCACTTTCTGAATGCATTACACACAAAAAGAAAAAAAAATTTGTAAATATATATAAATTTAGAGAAAAAAATGGTACATAATACAAAATTCTGACATTGACTTTGGACTTGGTATGCTACAATTATTTTTAAAATGTTTATCTTGTTTTTCTGTTACAAAGAATATATTGCAGACTAGTACATGGGCAAATGGAACTTGTTCAAGTAGCATGGGAAATATGGATTAGCACTTATGCCAGAGCTATGAATATACAGAGAACAGTCCTCCTGGTACCTCTTGAAATTTCCCAATTTTCCCAATGGTCTCATCAGCCCCTGGACTAATGTAATTAATTAGCCAATTAATATTATACTGTATTTCAACAAGTTGTAGAAGTTTGATATTATAATAGCTAAGTTGTTATATTGTTATAAGAAAATCTAAGTATTCAAATAAATACATTATTTTACTATAACTTTCTTAACTGTTGGGACTTCTTGAGATTTAATATTTAGATGGTCTCTCTATAAACCAACACAGTTTTTTTTATTAATTCACTTGTTTTAATCCACATCCCATTTTAATGGAAAAGATCTAATTAGTGTAAAAATTTACATCCTGAAGTATCATATACATAACCTATTGGAGTAGTAATTTTTAATGAATAGTTTTCAAATTTATCCCCAAAAATGACTTAAAGACCACTTTGAGGGCCCCTGCCACTGTGTTTGTTTCAATTTAAATTTATCCTTTAATAATACAATATTAATTATTGAAGTATAATTTTTTTAAAACACGATCAAGAAATTCAAATTAATACAATACATCCATGCAAGTTTATACAGAAGTAAATGTAATATAGCATTTTAAAACATAAAAGTTATATATTGATCTTTCCTATATGTGATTTTAAGATTTTAATTAAAATATTTTTATTAATCTACTTTTAATCTTAGTTATAATCTCTCAATTCAACTTATTTCTACAGAAAGTTTGAAAAGAAAAATATATTGCTAACTTAAGTTGATGATAAGTTTCATATTTTAAAAGAACTATTTTTATATTAAACTTTCATTTACAATAATTAATTCTTTTTTGTTTTCAAAATGTAATTTCATTCTAAACAAACAAATAATCAATTTAGATTCCTTTAGCATTATCTTTTCAAAATAATTTTGAATTACATTTCCATTCTTCATTTAAATTAATATAGCTAATGATTAAATTCTTATAAAAACTTAAAACATTAACAAGAACATTTGCCTCCTTTAGATTTGTAAAAAAATAATTATTCCTTGGGAAAATAACAAGATGTTTATACATTTGTTTATTTTAAGAAAATTGTAATTTTATAAATTGCTTTATTCTTATTGCTTTTAAATTTAATAAAATTATTAACTTGATAGCCTATTTTATGAAAACAAAACTGAGGAAAGTTTTAACTTTACTCATTTATTTTTGATGATGTATACACAATATTTTAAATACTTTTCTAAAGAAAATGTTTAAAAATATAGTTAATTATTCATTTTAATGTTACAAACTTTCTTAAACTAAAAGAAATTAATAAATATTCTTATACCTACCCATAAGAAGTGTTCCATTGTGATTTCCATCTGTGAAAACATACAATAATGATTTTAATTAAATATGAAATTTATTTTGTAAAAGAACAAGAATTTTTATTTAATAAAAATTACATGTATTTGTAAGTATTTGCCTGAATACTTTTCAAAATATAATGAATTTACCAAATAAACAGCCAGATTCTTTATTGGACTATAAGACTAAATAATTAAACAATTTGGCAGGAAGCAAGCCATCAGAGACTGCCATCTCTATTAAATATTTATTTATTTATAATAATTATATTTAATATTTAATAGAGATGGAGACCTGGCAGCTTGCCTCCTGGCAAACTGTTTAGTAATTATTTAGCCTTATAGCCAGGGCCAGCATGAGGCAGGTGCAGCACATTCGCTGGCCCCGCATTTTGAAAGGCCCTGCAGTGTATGAAAACTCATCAGACATTTTGCAAAACCTCCTCTATAGTAGATTGAATATTTGGGTGTGCAACTACATAATCCCCCTAATCAATGACAACTTGCTGCACACTGATATGAGTGCAAGATTTTCTTCCCCATCTTTGCATTGAAATGTTTTGTTGCAGCCTGTTGCAGACGTTGACATCAAACATTGGCACGTCTGCAACACTGGTGCAGAAGACATTAGGTGTTAAGGTAATTACCCAATTAAAAAACACCAATTTTGATTAACTTTTTACAGAATGATGATATCAAACAGATGCAAGACATTTTTTTAGTAACGATGATTCAGTTTGAAGGCATGACAAAAATCATCAAAGTTCAGTGTAACTCCATAAAGTCCTTATATCCTGGAAACTAAAATCCAAAGGCAAACAATTTTTTTTTTAATTTTTACCTTTTATTTAGTCTAGTATGTAGTAATAAATAATATTTAAAAATAATTTTCACATGTAGTTTTATTTTGGGCGTGAATGGGCTAATTAAACAAAGATGCATCACACTATCCCATTGCTACTGTCTTCGACGTTGGGCATTACTCAATCTCTCAACTAAACAAGGCTTCAGCTGAATGTAGTTTCTCGCGGTTGAAACTAATAAAAAATTATCTTCGATCATCAATAAGCCAAGACCAATTTACATCTCTGTCTATTCTTTCAATAGAAAGTGAAGTAGCAAACTCAATCAATTTTGATGACGTAATCAAAGATTTTGTGGTGAAAAAAGCAAGAAAAATTATGTAATATTCATCTTACAAAAAATATATGTAACATCCATTGTACTTATAATAAATAATTCCTTATTGTAAAATTTAAGTGTAGGATTTGAATCTATTTTGGCCCTGCAAAAGGTCATGCCAACCCTGATTATAGCCCAATAAAGAATCTGGCTGTTCATTTGGTATTTGAAATACCTGTCAGGTTAGTTTATTTATTATATAATGAATTTACTTTTCAATAACTAATTAATTATAAATTTTTTTGAGAAGATCAATGTCAAAACAAAACAATTACAGAAGTAAATTCTAAGGTTAGACAGTAATTGCTTTAGATATTTGTCATAGTTTCATTAGTATGAAACAAGAACTCTATATTAATCACCAATGTTACTGCATTCAAGAAGTAACATTGGTGATTAACATTCTTGAAAAGAAACTTATTCAAGAATGTTATAATAAATATAAATTATTATAGAGAATTATCATCATTAATATTAATAATCAGTCAAAAAACAAATTAATAAATTTAAAATTTATACATTTGCTTGCAAAATCATAAAAATAAGATGATATAAAATTAGCTAAAGACATATGATTTCTAAACACAATAATGAGAATGTTTAGTAATATTCAAATGTACTGTTATAATTCTTATATAATTCTTTTTACTGATAAGAAGTGAAAGAAACTGAGAAAAATTTTAAGATAGACGAAATGAATAACAGATTTACAGTATTTATTTAAAAACACTAATTATCATCAATTTCAACAAATTTAAAATTTGACAAAAAAATTACTTCAATTACCCTGTTCTGCATCAAAATCCTCCCATGAAAGAACATGTGATTTTTTTTATGTATTAATACTTTAGTATGCTGAATATGAATCTTAAGTCCAAAATCATCTATTACCCACAGTTTTTTTTTGTAAACACCACTTTTTGCAGAAAAATACCTTTGCAGAAAAAATTTCTGTTGCTATTGTTTGATAAAATATGAAACTGGAGCAAAAATAACATTGCTTAATGTCAGGAATTATTTTGAAAGGACCCTCCTGGAACAGGTGGTACATATTAGTAAACTATGGATGTCAGCTGTAAGATAACAGATGGCCCCATTCACAACCTGTCAGATTGATGGCATGGCCTGTCAGCTATACGTATAAGATCCAGCAGAAATACAAGACACTTGGTCTTGGACTCAGACACACACACTCAAACTCACATCATGCATGTGCAAAAACCAGTTGGACTGTTTCTGCTACATTTGTGGAAAACTGACTTTGAAGGTGAAACAAAAATCACTGATGCCTCTAGTGAAGAAAGCATACCATCATTATTTCAGCTGTAAGTTGGGAGACCAAGACAAAACTTGGGCTACTAAAATATGTTGTAATTCAAGCATGCAGACACTGACTGGAAGTTCAGAATTGTTACTTTTGCATGGCTGACATCAAAAACTTTACAGCAAAACCAAAAGCAAGCTATAATATCTCAAGTGTTCATCTGCACTTCGACCAGTGCCCCATGATGAATCAATGCCAGTACTGGCACCATCTTTGAATTTCATGAAAGCTTTAGAAGAGGAATCTGATCCTGAAAACATCTTGCCAAAATGACAATCAAGCTGTGGTGAGCAACTTTTATGGAGTCTCACAGAAGAGCCACAGCTCATCAATTAGCCTTGGCTAAATGATCTGATTTGTGATTTGATCTTTCAAAAAGAAAGGCTCAACTTCTTGCATCACATCTCCAACAGTGGAACTTTTGGAGAAAGAAGTTAAGGTGTCCTGTTACAGAAAAAGAAAATCAAGAAATGTGAAATTGTTTCAATGGAGGACAATCTTGTTTTTTGCAACAATATACTGAATTTGTTGAAGGAGCTTCAGCTGCCACAGGATACTGCAGAGTGAAGACTATCAATTCAAAGTTCAATCTTAAAGTAGTTCTGTTGCACAATGGCAAATAACGTCTATTCATACTGGTCGCTCATGCTGTTCACACGAAAGAAACAGCAACCTGAAGATACATTTGCTGGATAGGATAAAATATAATGAGCATAAGTGAATATGCATACTGACCTCAAAGATGTAATGCTAACAGATCTTCAAGGAGGATAAACTAAATTCAGCTGTTTTTTTTTTATGTGAATGGAACAATTGAGCAAGAAACAGTCAGTACTTAATAAAAAAAGTGGTCCAATTATGCAGCAAACCTACAAACTCAGAAGAATATTGCTTTTCTGCTCTAGTTAACTAAAATCCACTTAGGGACCGTCCATAAATTACGTAAGGGTGATTTCGACCATTCTACACCCCCACCCACCCCTGTGTAAGAAACCATAATATTTTCTTTGTTCCCCCCTTTCCTATCTTACATAATATTTTGGCATGATTTTATAGAAAGATTTTAACCAAAAAAAATTTTTTTATGAAACCCTAAAAACCTTAGGTCTAAAATATAAATTCAGTAGCAAGTAAATTACTCTCTGTTCAAAGCCAGTTTGCCATCAGAATTTAAAAGTGCTGCAGAACTGTTTTTACTAATGCCTCTCTGATACTAGCAGAGTTCCTTCCTTTTAAAAGGTTCTAAACTACTACATCAGAACTACAAATGTCAAGGCTTAACAACGGTCTCTACTCCTGTCTACGGCTGTTCACATGCTATCACATTGCAATTACCCTACTATCTCTGGTCATCATCCTGTAAACAAGGTTATTTGGTCTCATCTGCTTCCTTCATGGATAATCATGCAGACATTAATATCTACACAGATGAGTCCAAAAGCGCACTTCTTGTTGGCTCGAGTATCTGTATCTTCCTCCAAACTGACATATTTTGCCAAAAATACGTTAGAAGGTACAGATACCTCCCAGATAACTCCATCTATCAAGCTAAAGATGCTGACTATTAAGCTGTTCAGTCGGCCACTTCACTACCAAACAAAACTCTGTCTATCAACATTTACAGTGATTCTCAGTCTGTCCTAAAAGCTCTATTAAATCCCAATTGCAATAGCAATAAAATCACATACATCCAGCACTATATTAAAAATCTTGTAAATAAGATAACTTTTATATTTGTTCCTGGCTATACTGGCATATTGGGAAACAAAAGCTGACTTTGAGGTTGTCAGCTGCAAAGGCCACTGATGTGGACTATACTTGCATCCCTCTCTCAAGTAGCAGCCTTAAAAATTATATTCATGACAACACTATGCAAAAGTGGAATCAGTAAAAGTAATTGAGCAGTAAAACTGGTAGAATAAGAAGACTTTATTTTCTTAGTGTTGAATGTAGGTTCTCATCACTACTTGGAGATTTAACATTTGCTACTGCTTAACTACTTACTGAGCATGGTAATTTTAGAAGCTACCTGGCAATGTATAACTGGGCAGAAGCTGCTTCTTGCTTTTGCTCTACAGAAAATCTAGACACCGTCGACCATATGATCTATCATTGTTCAATTTACAATCAAGATAGACTTATTCTGAAATTAGAAATTTTTACGCTTGGTTTCAGGTGGCCATGCCCACTTGATAAGCTTGTTCAGAAACCACTGTTTCATGCTTTTTACAATTATGTTCAAAAAATATGAAAGAAAGGACTATTTATAATTTCTAATTTCACATTTTAGTTTTCACTAAAAGCCAAATACTAATTTTATGTTTACTTTGTATCATGTATTTTGGTTTATGTATTCTTAGTGTTATACACCCATAGGAGTGGTGCACTTATTCTAATAAAAAACAAGAAAGATAAACCACCACACAGCTTTTCTCCCATGACAAAAAATGTGTATAGCGTGAATCTGATAGCGTTATTACTCTATCATATCACACAAGACAACGAGCGT